CGGCGTAGCATGATCGCACACAAGGCATTGCTTGGCCTGTGTATGGATTTCCCGTGTTATCGCAGACTGCTTTACCCCCCTATATTATATATTTATTATTTATTATAAAGCGATTTTTCCATAATGCGGTGTTCTTCAGGAACGACGCAACTACTACCGCATTATAGGAGAATAGACTATTTTAAAACACTTGTTTATTTATGTATTTTACCAGATATGGCCCACTCAGCCTATGTAGTTCTTTTTCAGAAGTGACCTGGCTATCAAAAATAGCTCAACGAAGTGGCTTATCATGTGGACATTTATAGCAAATACTATAAACGCACGTTTCTAATTGTAGAGTGGAAAACCGGAGAACCTGGAGAAAAATCCACGCAACCATGAGGAAAACATGTACATTTAAAATATACAACAGGCATCAGGGTCGGGATCGAACCCACGACCTCCTGTATACCTGGCGAGGTAGTTAACATCTCCTAGGTACCGTGGCGAGATGTTAACCGTCGTCCCCTACACCTTTCGCTGAACGTTCACTGGGTGGCTGGCAGGCCCGAGCAGGTGGCACCATGGACCCGTTGCTGGACCTACACTGGGATATGTGGTGTGTCGCGTGGCGCTGACATTTTTGCTGGTGGTGGACCCAGACAGCTGGTGTGAAGCCAGTGCTGGCCCACCGCGCTCTTCCCACTCCCTGCTCTCCTGTTGGCTCTGGAGATGCTGCTGCTGATGATGCTGCTACTACTGGTCAGGGAAACTGCCATGAAATCAGATTTTATTGTATTTCTTTTTAAGGAGTAGTAGGGCTTTAATCTTGATTTTGTGACTGCAGGCATCCAAGCTTTCGTGACTGCAGGCATCCATATTCTTAGGTTCTTTCGGTAAAGTCACGTAGGTAGATCGCAACACAAGCAATCGTCATCAGGTGAGACAATTACAGCCGGAAAACTGCTGCAGCAGACGAGAGAGCTGCCGGTCTGAGCTGGGAGCAACCCAAGGCTAAGTGGGCGGGGCTAGAGATGGAAGAGAGAGGGAGGCGGGGCAGCAAGATCGCGACGGCGGGAGAGCTCGCCAGGGGGCAGAGGTCGCAAACGGGTTTTGATTCCTTACTCGTACCCGGCCGCACCAGGGTCGCAAACGGGTACCCTACCCGATACACAGCCGGGTACGGGTAGCCGGGTATCGGGTACGGTACGGGTACCCGATTGCGACCTCTGCCAGGGGGAGAGAGAGGGGGGGGGGGGCAGATCAAGATCAGCGGCGGCGGGAGAGCTCTCCCGCCGCCGCTGATCTTGCTCTGCCCCCCCCCCTCTCTCTTCCATCTCTAGCCCCGCCCACTTACCCTTGGGTTGTATTGTTAACAGGACCCTGCGGGGTGGGCTGGTAGGAACGAATAACCAAAGAATATAAACATAATGTATTATTACACTTGTTTAGCCAGGAAAGCCCCACTGAGTCAAAGGTTTTTGTAGGGTCCTGCCAAGTGTTTGCAGTAGGGGGCGATGTTGCTACACCTAATCGGACGATACGAAGGGAGAGATTGAGGCCTAGTTCTAGGCTTTAGGCCTAGCTGTAGGCTTTAGGGCGCTGTGAGTTAATTTTTTATTTAAATGTTTTAATGATTTATGTAAAAGCTTTAAATTTAAATGTTTCTATTTAAAAACATGAGGGAATGTAACATTGTTAAACATTAACTCCCTTTCACACACGCGGGGGTACGATACGAAGGGAGAGTTTCAGGCCTAGTTCTAGGCTTTAGGCCTAGCTGTAGGCTTTAGGGCGCTGTGAGTTTTTTTTTATTTCAAAGTTTTAATTAAAAGCTATCTCAGGGAATTATAAGGGAATGTTACACGTGTTTAGCCAGGAAAGCCTCATAATTTAAATGTTTTAATTAAAAGCTATCTGAGGGAATTATAAGGGAATGTTACACTTGTTTAGCCAGGAAAGCGTCACTGAGTCTAAAGGTTTTTGTAGGGTCATGCCAAGTGTTTGCAGTAGGGGGCGATGTTGCTACACGGACGGACGGACAAAATAATCTATTGGTGGCTGGTCCACTTCGTTCCTACCAGTATAACCTCTCGGTCACGGCAGCTCTCTGGCCTGCTGCAGCAGTTTTCCTGCTGTAATTGTCTCACCTGATGACGATTGCTTGTGTTGCGATCGAAACGTCGTGATCTGTTCATTTCTACCTACGTGACTTTACCGAAAGAACCGAAGAGTATAGTAGGGCTTTGGCGACACAATATTATCCATAAGCGGTTTTTTGGAGGGGGGGTTCGATGTCATAAATATAAATGTGTTAACCTGCCACCACCCGACACAGCCAATGAATAAGGTTGTCACAGGGCTCCTGGGAGATTTGAGAGGCGGATTCTTCTCTCCCCTCACACATCGCTACCTGCCCCCGACATATACCCGACTATAATCACCCAGGAATGTCTGTCCTTAACGCTCGTGACATCACTCTACATTGACCAGCCCCCGTCATTAATATTCACGAGTAGGTGACATCTTCCAAATGGACACCCCCCATTATTATTACCTGAGATGAGGCAAGAATGTATGTGTGCAACACTCGTGACGTCACTCCGTCGACCAGCCCCCCTCATTAATAATCATCAACAGGTTACGTCCTCCACATGGACCCCCCCCCCCGCATTAATAATCATGAGCAGGTGACATCACTCCACATGGGGGGCTGAGGGATGCCTCCTCCCCCCTCGGCGTCCCTCACGACAAAGGCAGAACCCTCACGTCACGCGATCTCCGTAACGCTAGTGAGACATCAAAGTAAAAAGGACGTCATGATGAACAAGGGATTATATCCTTTAAATGAAATGGGTCTGTGTCACCGCGCCCTTACAAATCGCACACGCATTGATGCAGTGAATATCACGTAGCGCTCTGCTTTTCGCTTGCAAGTTTCAGATTTACTGCAATACACCCGTCCTTGGACGGGCAAAAGGCGAGTTGTAATAATTATTGCGAGCCAGGGCATTATTTATGGAACCTTTTTGCCAGTGTGACGATAAGACTTGGAGGCACTTCTTGACGAGCACCATCGGGATTAACACAACCATCGGGTTGCGATCGAAACGTCGATGTTTTTTGCTATTTTTGTAAAAAAAATTGTTATTTTTGTAAAATTCCTGCAGTCACGAAAGCTTTACGTGAAGAGATAAAACGACGTTTCGGTTGGGTCCACCTTCTTCCGAAAGACCCTTCCCGTTCCGGAAGACTCTTCCCGTTCCGGAAGGAACACGCATGTCCAGTAGGGGCAGGCCACGGAACGTTACGACAACAAACACAATACACAAACACAATAGGAGCGCAAAGTATAGAAAAGGTAACAAATGCAGTATATACAAATACAACTTCACTGTGTTTCATCTTACCTGGAAAAGCGCCACTGAGCTATTAACGGAGTTCTATTTTCACGAGCGTGCTGGCACACAAGTCCTAGTTCCATAGCTGTCAACCCATGCGGTTTACCCCGCATTCTTGTATAGGGAAATTGAGTTTTCAGGTCCATACAGCGTACGCCTTGGGTTTCTTGTATTTAACAATGGGGTTAATGAATTAGCTAAGTATAATGCAGATTTGCCAATTAGGGGCCGTCCATAAATGACGTCACGCGATTTTGGACGATGTTTTACCCCTCCCCCCTCGTCACACGGCGTCACAAAAAGTCAGACCCCCCCCCCTCAAATATGACGTCACAAAGCTCTGCCCCCCCCCCCCAAATAAAACATGCTACAAATCGCTTTAAACTATTGTCATTGTAGTGCGTATTTAATGTGGGGTGAGTAGGAGGGTAGGGGTAAGGGGGTAGGGGTGAGTAGGTGGTTAGGGGTGAGTAGGGAGGTAGGGGTGAGTAGAGGGGTAGGGGTGAGTAGGGGTGAGTAGGGTGGTAGGGGTGAGTAGGGGGGTAGGGGTGAGTAGGGGGGTGGGGGTGAGTAGGAGGGTAGGGGTGAGTAGGGGGGTAGGGGTGAGTAGGGGGGTGGGGGTGGGTAGGGGTGAGTAGGGGGGTGGGGGTGAGTAAGGGGTAGGGGTGAGTAGGGGGGTAGGGGTGAGTAGGAGGGTAGGGGTGAGTAGGAGGGTAGGGGTAAGGGGGTAGGGGTGAGTAGGAGGGTAGGGGTAAGGGGGTAGGGGTGAGTAGGTGGTTAGGGGTGAGTAGGGAGGTAGGGGTGAGTAGAGGGGTAGGGGTGAGTAGGGGGGTAGGGGTGAGTAGGGGGGTAGGGGGGTAGCGGTGAGTAGGGGGGTAGGGGTGAGTAGGGGGGTAGGGGTGAGTAGGAGGGTAGGGGTGAGTAGGTGGTTAGGGGTGAGTAGGGAGGTAGGGGTGAGTAGGGGGATAGGGGTGAGTATGGGGGTAGGGGTGAGTAGGTGGTTAGGGGTGAGTAGGGAGGTAGGGGTGAATAGGGGGGTGGGGGTGAGTAGGGGGGTAGGGGTGAGTAGGGGGGTGGGGGTGAGTAAGGGGGTAGGGGTGAGTAAGGGGGTAGGGGTGAGTAGGGGGTGGGGGTGAGTAGGGGGGTGGGGGTGAGTAGGGGGGTGGGGGTGAGTAGGGGGGTGGGGGTGAGTATGGGGGTAGGGGTGAGTAGGAGGGTAGGGGTGAGTAGGTGGTTAGGGGTGAGTAGGGAGGTAGGGGTGAGTAGGGGGATGGGGGTGAGTAAGGGGGTAGGGGTGAGTAGGGGGATGGGGGTGAGTAAGGGTGTAGGGGTGAGTAGGGGGATGGGGGTGAGTAGGAGGGTAGGGGTGAGTAGGGGGTAGGGGTGAGTAGGGGGGTTAGGGGTTTGTAGGTGGGGATGGGGTTAGGGGGTGGGGGACGTCATCACACAGCGACGCGGTTCTGTGCGGGTGGACGCTGGAGAGAGGCGAGGCGGGAAAGAGAGGAGAGTGAGGCGGGAGATTGGGGAGCGTGAGGGAGAGTGAAGGGGGAGTGAAGGGAGAGTGAGGGGAGAGTGAGGGGGAGTGAAGGGAGAGAGCGAGGGGAGAGTAAAGGGGGAGAGTGAGGGGGGAGTGAGGGGAGAGACAGGAAGCGTGGAGGTTGTGCGGAGAAGGCTGAGAGGGGGCTGATTTAGAGTGAGTGGTGAGTTGGTGGTGAGTGAGTGAGTGGTGAGTTATTGGTGAGTTGGTGGCGAGTGGTGAGTTGGTGGTGAGTGAGTGGTGAGTGAGTGTGTGGTGAGTTATTGGTGAGTTGGTGGCGAGTGGTGAGTGTGTGGTGAGTTGGTGGTGAGTTGGTGGTGAGTGAGTGAGTGGTGAGTTGGTGGTGAGTGAGTGGTGAGTGAGTGAGTGGTTAGTTTGTGGTGAGTGTGTGGTGAGTTGGTGGTGAGTGAGTGGTGAGTGAGTGGTGAGTTGGTGGCGAGTGAGTGGTGAGTTGGTGGTGAGTGAGTTGGTGGTGAGTTGGTGGTGAGTGGTGAGTTGGTGAGTGAGTTGGTGGTGAGTTGGTGGTGAGTGGGTGAGTTGGTGGTGAGTGTGTGGTGAGTGTGTGGTGAGTTGGTGGTGAGTGAGTGGTGAGTTGGTGGTGAATTGGTGGTGAGTGGTGAGTTGGTGGTGAGTGTGTGGTGAGTGAGTGGTGAGTTGGTGGTGAGTTGGTGGTGAGTGGTGAGTTGGTGGTGAGTTGGTGGTGAGTGTGAGTTGGTGGTGAGTGTGTGGTGAGTGTGTGGTGAGTTGGTGGTGAGTGAGTGGTGAGTTGGTGGTTAGTTGGTGGCGAGTGAGTGGTGAGTTGGTGGTGAGTTGGTGGTGAGTGGTGAGTTGGTGGTGAGTGCCATGGGCCGCAAGGTGACGCTGGCGAGCTGTGCGCTCTCGCAATGGGCGCTCGACTTCCAGGGCAACACGGAGCGCGTGCTCACCAGTGAGACTCCTCACCACTCCTCACCAATCACTCACCACTCACTCATCACTCCCTCACTCACCACTCACTCCTCACCACTCACTCCTCACCACCCACTCCTCACCACTCACTCCTCACCACCCACTCTTCACCACTCACTCACCACTCACTCCTCACCACCCACTCCTCACCACCCACTCCTCACCACTCACTCCTCACCTCTCCTCACCACTCACTCACCACTCACTCCTCACCACTCCTCACCACTCACTCACCACTCACTCCTCACCACTCACTCCTCACCAATCACTCGTCACCACTCACCACGCCCTTCTCATCACTCACTCACCAATCACTCTTCACCACCCACTCCTCACCACTCACCACTCCCTCCTCACCACTCACTCCTCACCACTCACCAATCACTCCTCACCAATCACTCCTCACCACTCCTTACGACTCCTCACAAAACACCACAGTGGCTTGGAGATGTTAACTACCTCGCTTGATGTACAGGAGGTCGTGGGTTCGAGGCCACTGGTTCTTTACGTTCTGTCAACGTAGATGCCACTGGTTCTTCACGTTCTGTCAACGTAGATACCACTGGTTCTTCATGTTCTGTAGACGCAGATTCCACTGGTTCTTCACGTTCTGTAGATGTAGATGCCACTGGTTCTTCACGTTCTGTAGATGTAGATGCCACTGGTTCTTCACGTTCTGTAGATGCCACTGGTTCTTCACGTTCTGTAGATGCAGATGCCACTGGTTCTTCACGTTCTGTAGATGCAGATGCCACTGGTTCTTCACGTTCTGTAGATGTAGATGCCACTGGTTCTTCACGTTCTGTAGATGCAGATGCCACTGGTTCTTCACGTTCTGTAGATGTAGATGCCACTGGTTCTTCACGTTCTGTCAACATAGATGCAACTGGTTCTTCACGTTCTGTCAACGTAGATGCCACTGGTTCTTCACGTTCTGTAGATGCAGATGCCACTGGTTCTTTACGTTCTGTCAACGTAGATGCCACTGGTTCTTCACGTTCTGTAGATGTAGATGCCACTGGTTATTCACGTTCTGTCAACGTAGATGCCACTGGTTCTTCACGTTCTGTAGATGCAGATGCCACTGGTTCTTCACGTTCTGTAGATGTAGATGCCACTGGTTCTTCACGTTCTGTCAACGTAGATGCCACTGGTTCTTCACGTTCTGTAGATGCAGATGCCACTGGTTCTTCACGTTCTGTAGATGCAGATGCCACTGGTTCTTCACGTTCTGTAGATGCAGATGCCACTGGTTCTTCACGTTCTGTCAACGTAGATGCCACTGGTTCTTCACGTTCTGTAGATGCAGATGCCACTGGTTCTTCACGTTCTGTAGATGCAGATGCCACTGGTTCTTCACGTTCTGTAGATGCAGATGCCACTGGTTCTTCACGTTCTGTAGATGCAGATGCCACTGGTTCTTCACGTTCTGTCAACGTAGATGCCACTGGTTTTTCACGTTCTGTAGATGCAGATGCCACTGGTTCTTCACATTCTGTAGATGCAGATGCCACTGGTTCTTCACGTTCTGTCAACGTAGATGCCGCTGGTGCTTCATGTTCTGCAGATGTAGATGCCACTGGTGCTTCATGTTCTGCAGATGTAGATGCCACTGGTTCTTCATGTTCTGCAGATGTAGATGCCACTGGTTCTTCACGTTCTGCAGATGTAGATGCCACCACCGCCATCTATTGTGCGGCGGTTGAACTTACGACGCTAGGTCCGAACAGGCCACTGGACATACGTACCAGGTTTGTTCGTAACTCTGAAAGTTCGTAAGTCGAATGTTCATAAGAAGAGAAGTTCCTGTACTACTGCTGCACCTTGGGCAGCATCGCTACAGAACTTTGTGTTATTTCGATAATAGTGCCCGCGTAACAAAAATAAGTGTGAACTAATCTAATGCGCTATTTCAAAATCACGTGACGTAAAACGCGGGGTGACTGTTTACTCAAATTGTGAATTGCACGCAGCAAACACACACACACAGCCTCCTCCTGCTGTAAAACCTGGCCAAGAGCCTCCAGAATGCTCGTAATAATACTGGTAACATTCCAACATATCCCCAACCCTCCAACTCTGCCTTGCCGTTGTCCGCAAAGCTGATCGGCCAGGCTTCTGCAAAACATGGTGCCGTGTTGTGTCTCTGTATATGTCTGTGCGTGTCCACGTGTCTGTGCGTGTCCACGTGTCTGTGTGTGCCTGTGTGTGTGAGTCTCGCTATGGGAGGAGGAAACCCCCATGGCAGAACAGCGGGAGACCATACAGACTCAACACTCCACTCACGCTCACTCACAAACTCAATCACACTCTCCAGAACATGGGGAGGATACACAAACCCCACGCAGAGAAAGCAACCCGAGTTTGATTCCTGCTAACGGCCACCGACACCAGTGACGATTACCTGAACCGGTCATGGGCCTCCCCAAGGTCGACTAGGCCTCATATGAGTACCTGGTGAGATGTGTCAACATCCCCACTGGGGAAACAAAGGCGGCCGGGCGTGGTGTTGGCCACCCACCCCCTCGTGTGCCGCGTTGGCCTTCATAGGTGCTCGATGACAGCACTTGCCCCAACAGTCTGTTCAGAATATACGGGGGATCTTTGTCTTTTTAACACGTAGACTTTCGCGACCAATATCCGTAATGCAGGTGTTTTGGGTTAGATCGTGTAAATATGAATGTGTCGTTGCACTCACCACCGCCCGACACAGCCAACTAGTAAGGTTTGTCACGTAAATAGAACATGGCAATTCGTTACTAGTGTAGTGACATGGGAGGGGAGGGGCTGCTAGGGGGGCTCTGGGACCCTGGGCAGCCCAGGCGCTTGGGCCCCTTGACGCCGGGCGCTGGGTTCCCAGGCGGCCCAGACACTTAAGCCCCTTGGCGCCAGGCGTTGGCTTCCCGGGCGGCCCAGGCGCTTAAGCCCCTTGGCGTCACCAACGGGGGGGGGGCTGTGTGTGCTCTGTGGGATATCTGGGGGCGCACACGGCCCCACCCCTCGTTAGGGACTAGGCATAAAAGGGGAGCTCCCTGGACGATCAGGGCCAGTTGTAGCTCAAGACCCAAGACCAGCCATCTGAGGACCCTGGGACGCTGTGAGGGCCAGTGGTGGGACTCTGGAACTCCCGGCTCTACGTCCTTGTGAGGGCGAATTTCAGAGCGTAGCCAGAGTAGTGTATCTAGGCTGTGTACCTAGGCTGTGTACCTAGGCTGTAACAGAGTAGTTGGACTATTGGACTGTTGGAGTGTTGGATTGTAATAAAGAAGTTACCTCTACAAGTGTCTCCGGAACCCGTTACATTTGGAGTCAGAAGTGGCCATGGAGACAAGAAGTAAGCCACGTACCTTCAGTCCTGACTGGCGATGTCGAGGAGCAAGCAGCGATGGGGCAGCCAACGCCGGCCGACAACGCCGCCGCGCCGACGGCGACGCCGCACCGCCAGCCGACAGCGACGCCGCACCGCCGGCCGACAACAACGCCGCACCGCCGGCCCGACAGCGACGCTGCACCGCCGACCGACAACGACGCCGCACCGCCGGCTGAGCAGCTGTCTGCTCCGCCGACCGTCCCCTCTCCAGCGTCGGGAGCAGGATGGAGGAGGCGCTGTTTCGCCTCACACAGCTGCTCTGCGTCACCGCCTCCCTCCTGGGCGAGATGCGGCGCTCACATGCGATGGCGGGAGGGGGGGAAGAGGCGCAGCGCTCGCCCGAGCCCGCCACCGCCATTCCCGCCACCGGCATTCCCGCCACAAATGTGGGGGATGCTTCCGGGTGTGTCGTCACTTCCGCCGGGGGAGCAATGACCGCTGGGAGCAACGTCACTTCCGGGCCCAGCGTGGTCCAACCAAACAACGCCGCATCATCAGCGCTGCGACCTTCACCGCCGGACGACAGCTGGCTTCAACCTAGCATACCGCGTCATCAGCGCTGCGACCGGACAGTGAGGGCGCCATTCTTACTGTAACCGGCGCCGGGGCCGGCACATCGATCGACACGCTGGTCGTCGCCTTTGCTCTGGCCAAAGGTTGGAGGTCGGGAGACCAGGCCCCTGACACTTTGTCCATTTATGCGCTCCGGATTAATGATTTTTGTTGACATTTTCTTCGTTGTCGTCGGGGAGTCGTGATTGTTGTTGGGTAAACTGTGTGGAGCTTCGCTCGTGAGTGTTGTCAATGTGTGTGCGAAACTTTGCTTAATGATTGTTAACAATGTATAGTTTGTATGCAGCTTTGTTCGTGATTGTTAATGTATAGCTTGTGCTGTCATTGTTAACGATGTATAGAATCATCTTCTTGGTTCTTTCAGGTAAAGTCTACGTGACTTTACCGAAAGAACCAAGAAGATGAATCCCTGCAGTCACGAAAGCTTTAAATCGAGATGTATAGACTGTACGGGGCATTTATCTTGAGATGGTGACATGCTGCCAGGGATTTGGAATTGTCGTGCTGGCTCTCAAATATCTTGTGGTGCAGATCCTGACCAGGATGGCCCAGTGGGTGTCGCGTGTCTAACACGAGAGTTTTGGTCCCGTCATGCTATGGCTGACGGCTTGACCTGACAGCCCGGAGATTGAAACACTCCGTGGCATATCTAGCCTAGTGGGCTGTGCGCTCACATGGCTCGGACAGTGTGGTCCCGTCATGCAATGGCTGACGGCTTGACCTGACGGCCCGGAGGTTGAGACCCTCCGTGGTGCGTCTGGAGCTGTAGGCTCGCCCTGACGGCCCGGAGATTGAAACACTCCGAGGCGCGTTGAAACAGTGGGCTGGAGATTCGTAGTGTTCAGGTGTAGTTGTCCCGTTACGTTGGGACTGTATCCCTCAGTTGTTAGGGTGCATGTTGTGCAGTGAGTGAACGATGGGTCGTCTCAGCTCGGTCGGTACAGCTATATGCTGCGATGCGAGTCTTGGAGAGAGACTGGGTCTCAGCTCGGTCGGTACAGCTATATGCTGCGATGCGAGTCTTGGAGAGAGACTGGGTTGAAGTCCCCCCCGATATGGCCGACGCGTGCTACTGATTGTGACGCCGCGTCGGAAAGGCGGTGGGGTGGTTACACATAAATTCCCCCCTCCCGATATGGCCGACGTGCGCGGTTTTAGGATGGAGACGCCACGTCGAAAAGGCGGTGGGGTGGTAACATGGAAATTCCCCCCCCGATATGGCTGACGCGTGCTACTGGTTGTGACGCCGCGTCGGAAAGGCGGTGGGGTGGTAACATGGAAATTCCCCCCCCCGATATGGCCGACGCTTGCTACTGGTTGTGACGCCACGTCGGAAAGGCGGTGGGGTGGTAACATGGAAATTCCACCCCGATATGGCCGACGCGTGCTACTGGTTGTGACGCCGCGTCGGAAAGGTGGTGGGGTGGTAACACGGAAATTGCCCCCCGATATGGCCGACATGCGCGGTTTTCGGATGGAGACGCCACGTTGGAAAGGCGGGGGGTGCTAACGGTTGACATGTATATTCTTAGGTTTTTTCGGTAAAGTCACGTAGGTAAAACATTAAAATTAATAAAAGTAAAATAAAATTAAATAAAAATAAAAATCACGACGTATCGAAGGCAACACAAGCTTCCGTCTTCAGGTGGAACCGTCACAGCCACGACAGGTGTATCAAGTAAATGAGAGATTACAAGAGCTACCACTTCGTAAAGCGATGGGTATTACCTTGTTATCTCGGCATCTCTTGAGGAAGGCCAGCGTCTCGAGAAGCTGTGACTTCTTGTCTCGTTGTCTGTTAAAAACTCTAACAGATAGGTGGAATTCCTCCCCGTAGAGGGCATTAATTCTAGATTTGAAGCTTTCGTGACTGCAAGGATTCATATTCTTAGGTTTTTTCGGTAAAGTCACGTAGGTAAAACATTAAAATTAATAAAAGTAAAATAAAAATAAAAATCACGACGTTTAGGAGGCAACACAAGCTTCCGTCTTCAGGTGGAACCGTCACAGGCCACGACAGCTATATCAAGTAAATGAGAGATTACAAGAGCTACCACTCCGTAAAGCGATGGGTATTACCTTGTTATCTCGGCATCTCTTGAGGAAGGCCAGCGTCTCGAGAAGCTGTGACTTCTTGTCTCGTTGTCTGTTAAAAACTCTAACAGATAGGTGGAATTCCTCCCCGTAGAAGGCATTAATTCTAGATTTGAAGCTTTCGTGACTGCAAGGATTCATATTCTTAGGTTTTTTCGGTAAAGTCACGTAGGTAAAACATTAAAATTAATAAAAGTAAAATAAAAATAAAAATCACGACGTTTCGGAGGCAACACAAGCTTCCGTCTTCAGGTAAAACCGTCACAGCCACGACAGCTGTATCAAGTAAATGAGAGATTACAAGAGCTCCCACTTCGTAAAGCGATGGGTATTACCTTGTTATCTCGGCATCTCTTGAGGAAGGCCAGCGTCTCGAGAAGCTGTGACTTCTTGTCTCGTTGTCTGTTAAAAACTCTAACAGATAGGTGGAATTCCTCCCCGTAGAGGGCATTAATTCTAGATTTGAAGCTTTCGTGACTGCAAGGATTCATATTCTTAGTTTTTTTCGGTAAAGTCACGTAGGTAAAACAGTAAAATTAATAAAAGTAAAATAAAATAAAAATCACGACGTTTCGGAGGCAACACAAGCTTCCGTCTTCAGGTGGAACCGTCACAGCCACGACAGCTGTATCAAGTAAATGAGAGATTACAAGAGCTACCACTCGGTAAAGCGATGGGTATTACCTTGTTATCTCGGCATCTCTTGAGGAAGGCCAGCGTCTCGAGAAGCTGTGACTTCTTGTCTCGTTGTCTGTTAAAAACTCTAACAGATAGGTGGAATTCCTCCCCGTAGAGGGCATTAATTCTAGATTTGAAGCTTTCGTGACTGCAAGGATTAATATTCTTAGGTTTTTTGGGTAAAGTCATGTAGGTAAAACATTAAAATTAATAAAAGTAAAATAAAAATAAAAATCACGACGTTTCGGAGGCAACACAAGCTTCCGTCTTCAGGTGGAACCGTCACAGCCACGACAGCTGTATCAAGTAAATGAGAGATTACAAGAGCTACCACTCCGTAAAGCGATGGGTATTACCTTGTTATCTCGGCATCTCTTGAGGAAGGCCAGCGTCTCGAGAAGCTGTGACTTCTTGTCTAGTTGTCTGTTAAAAACTCTAACAGATAGGTGGAATTCCTCCCCGTAGAAGGCATTAATTCTAGATTTGAAGCTTTCGTGACTGCAAGGATTCATATTCTTAGGTTTTTTCGGTAAAGTCACGTAGGTAAAACATTAAAATTAATTAAAAAAAAAATCACGACGTGTCGGAGGCAACACAAGCTTCCGTCTTCAAGTGGAACCGTCATTTTTATTTTACTTTTATTAATTTTAATGTTTTACCTACGTGACTTTACCGAAAAAACCTAAGAATATGAATCCTTGCAGTCACGAAAGCTTCAAATTTAGAATTAATGCCCTCTACGGGGAGGAATTCCACCTATCTGTTAGAGTTTTTAACAGACAACGAGACAAGAAGTCACAGCTTCTCGAGATGCTGGCCTTCCTCAAGAGATGCCGAGATAACAAGGTAATACCCATCGCTTTATCGAGTGGTAGCTCTTGTAATCTCTCATTTACTTGATACAGCTGTCGTGGCTGTGACGGTTCCACCTGAAGACGGAAGCTTGTGTTGCCTCCGAAACGTCGTGATTTTTATTTTTATTTTATTTTACTTTTATTAATTTTAATGTTTTACCTACGTGACTTTACCGAAAAAACCTAAGAATATGAATCCTTGCGATCACGAAAGCTTCAAATCTAGGTTGACATGTAATGTCGGTGGTGGTCTCATTGAGGACTGCTGGGATGCAAGCATGGGATGCCTTGGAGATGCGGTTCGCGGAGCAGGCGGATTTATTTTGTTTGTTTCATGTCAAATTTATATATATATTTTAAATTGTAGATTCTGGAGCCGCCCTGAAGTGTGACTTCTTTGCCCAGTACATGGGTCGGCCCTGAAGTACGACTTCTCGACCCGGGACGTAGACAGACGTCCGGATTAGTGTGTGTAGAGGGATGCTAGACATGTTGGTCTTCGCCTTCTCTCCACCTGACGAATGGGAGGGTGGCAGGGTGGTGTGGAACCCTGCCATCCATGTGGTGGTTGTGCATCCAACGCGTCGGAATCTGTATATTTGTTGTTGTTAATTCCCCGTTTTCTATGCGGATCCCGAGGAGGGTTAGGTGTGCCACGGGTCGTTTGTTCACGTGTCATTGCTTCATTTTTTTTTGTGATTGACGCTTGTATATAGTGTAAAGTGTACAGGTTGGTTAGGGTATTTATGGTTGCTTTCTTGTTCTCTTTTCTTTTCCTGTTGAGGCTCGCGTATTTTTTTTTCTCTCCCTTTCGTTAATTTAAACTTTCTAATTATTGACAGCCGGGACGGCTGGAGGCTACATAGAGGAGGGTAATGTAGTGACATGGGAGGGGAGGGGCTGCTGGGGAGGGCTCTGGGACCCTGGGCGGCCCAGGCGCTTGGGCCCCTTGGCGCTGGGCGCTGGGTTCCCAGGCGGCCCAGACGCTTAAGCCCCTTGGCGCCAGGCGTTGGCTTCCCGGGTGGCCCAGGCGCTTAAGCCCCTTGGCGCCACCAACGGGGGGGGGGGGCTGTGTGTGCTCTGTGGGATATCTGGGGGCGCACACGGCCCCACCCCTCGTTGGGGACTAGGCATAAAAGGGGAGCTCCCTGGACGATCAGGGCCAGTTGTAGCTCAAGACCCAGACCCAAGACTAGCCATCTGAAGACCCTGGGACGCTGTGAGGGCCAGTGGTGGGACTCTGGAACTCCCGGCTCTACGTCCTTGTGAGGGCGAGTTCCAGAGCGTAGCCAGAGTAGTGTATCTAGGCTGTGTACCTAGGCTGTGTACCTAGGCTGTAACAGAGTAGTTGGACTGTTGGACTGTTGGAGTGTTGGATTGTAATAAAGAAGTTACCTCTACAAGTGTCTCCGGAACCCGTTACACTAGTACAGCACACCAGTGTGTTGGAGAGCAAAGGCACAACAATTACCATCTGAGTACGATGTTAACGAGTAATTACAACCAGCTCCATCAGGTGACAGACAGATTTGTGGACAAATCCTCCTGGAACGAAACAGGAATTAAATAGGATTTATCCACAAATTTATCGAACCCAAAAAACCTGCATTATGGATGTTTGTTTTTCTTTGTTTTTGTAATGGGGATCGGTAGTGCAGCGGTTCGTGCACTACGAACCGGGATACCCGAGTTTGATTTCCGGTTCATGGCCACCAAAACCAGTGACAATTATCTGAACTGGTCCTGGGCCTCTCCTAGGTCGACTCAGCCTAAAATTAGTACCTAGTGCGGTGTGTTAACATCGCCACTGGGGAGACAAAGGCGGCCGGGCGTGGTGCTGGTCACGCACCCCCTCATGTGCCGTGCCGGCCTTCATAGGCGCTACTCGCTAACAGCACTTTCCCCCACAGTCTGTTACAGACAAATGGGGGATCTTTGTTTTGTGCTCGATAACTGTGTCTGTCTGTGTGCTGTGTCAGGCATTGAGGCTGCCAAGGCCAAGGGAGCTCGCTATCGTCTGGGATCAGAGTTGGAAATCTGGTAATTATCAGCATGATTCCACTGCTTTAACCCAGTTCAGCTCAACTATAAACTCAACAATTTTTTTTCTTACCAGGTAAGGTTCAATAACCTATGTTGCTCTTTTTCAGAAGTGACCTGGCTATCACAAATGATAGTCCAACTAAGTGGCTTGTCACGTGTCAATTTATATGAGCCACATACTCTGAATGACTGACGTTGATTCTGAATGTGGAGGGAAAACGTGATGGACCTAAAAAAAACCCCACGCGACCACTGGGAGAGAGAGAAACACGCAAAACTCCAAATATACAGCAGGTGGCAGGGTCGGGATCGAACCACGACGTCCTGCATACTAGGCGAGGTAGTTAACATCTCCTGGCCACCGTTGCACCCCAATGCCTCGCTGAGTCTCAAGACTAATTACGCAGTGGGTTGGGGAAGCGATGTTGTCGCTGCTGCTGCTGCTGTTGCGTGATCCTGATTGAGTTCACTGGGCAGGGTATTCCTCAGCGTTGTTGGGGATGTAATTTTGGCCGATAGCAGTTCCACTGTGAGTGTGGTAGTGACTACGGCTGTGTGTGTTGTCTGTAGTGACTATGGCTGTGTGTGTTTTCTGTAGTGACTACGGCTATGTGTGTTGTCTGTAGTGGCTATGGCTGTGTGTGTTGTCTGTAGTGACTACGGCTGTGTGTGTTGTCTGTAGTGGCTACGGCTGTCTGTGTTGTCTGTAGTGGCTACGGCTGTGTGTGTTGTCTGTAGTGACTACAGCTGTGTGTGTTGTCTGTAGTAACTACGGCTGTGTGTGTTGTCTGTAGTGGCTATGGCTGTGTGTGTTTTCTGTAGTGACTACGGCTGTGTGTGTTGTCTGTAGTGGCTATGGCTGTGTGTGTTGTCTGTAGTGACTACGGCTGTGTGTGTTGTCTGTAGTGACTACGGCTGTGTGTGTTATCTGTAGTGACTATGGCTGTGTGTGTTGTCTGTAGTGGCTACGGCTGTGTGTGTTGTCTGTAGTGACTATGGCTGTGTGTGTTGTCTGTAGTGGCTATGGCTGTGTGTGTTGTCTGTAGTGGCTATGGCTGTGTGTGTTGTCTGTAGTGACTACGGCTGTGTGTGTTGTCTGTAGTGGCTATGGCTGTGTGTGTTTTCTGTAGTGGCTACGGCTGTGTGTGTTGTCTGTAGTGACTACGGCTGTGTGTGTTGTCTGTAGTGGCTATGGCTGTGTGTGTTGTCTGTAGTGGCTATGGCTGTGTGTGTTGTCTGTAGTGGCTACGGCTGTGTGTGTTGTCTGTAGTGGCTACGGCTGTGTGTGTTGTCTGTAGTGACTACGGCTGTGTGTGTTGTCTGTAGTGACTACGTCTGTGTGTGTTGTCTGTAGTGGCTACGGCTGTGTGTGCTGTCTGTAGTGGCTATGGCTGTGTGTGTTGTCTGTAGTGGCTACGGCTGTGTGTGTTGTCTGTAGTGGCTACGGCTGTGTGTGTTGTATGTAGTGACTATGGCTGTGTGTGTTGTCTGTAGTGGCTACGGCTGTGTGTGTTGTCTGTAGTGACTATGGCTGTGTGTGTTGTCTGTAGTAACTACGGCTGTGTGTGCTGTCTGTAGTGACTATGGCTGTGTGTGTTGTCTGTAGTAACTACGGCTGTGTGTGCTGTCTGTAGTGACTACGGCTGTGTGTGTTGTCTGTAGTGGCTACGGCTGTGTGTGCTGTCTGTAGTAACTACGGCTGTTTGTGCTGTCTGCAGTGACCACGGCTGTGTGTGTTGTCTGTAGTGGCTACGGCTGTTTGTGCTGTCTGTAGTGACTACGGCTGTGTGTGTTGTCTGTAGTGACTACGGCTGTGTGTGTTGTCTGTAGTGGCTACGGCTGTGTGTGTTGTCTGTAGTGACTACGGCTGTGTGTGTTGTCTGTAGTGACTACGGCTGTGTGTGTTGTCTGTAGTGACTACGGCTGTGTGTGTTGTCTGTAGTGACTACGGCTGTGTGTGTTGTCTGTAGTGACTACGGCTGTGTGTGTTGTCTGTAGTGGCTACGGCTGTGTGTGTTGTCTGTAGTGCTACGGCTGTGTGTGTTGTCTGTAGTGACTACGGCTGTGTGTGTTGTCTGTAGTGGCTACGGCTGTGTGTGTTGTCTGTAGTGACTACGGCTGTTTGTGCTGTCTGTAGTGGCTACGGCTGTGTGTGTTGTCTGTAGCGACTACGGCTGTGTGTGTTGTCTGTAGTGACTATAGCTGTTTGTGCTGTCCGTAGTGACTATGGCTGTGTGTGTTGTCTGTAGTGACTACGGCTGTGTGTGCTGTCTGTAGTGGCTACGACTGTGTGTGTTGTCTGTAGTGACTACGGCTGTGTGTGTTGTCTGTAATGACTAAGGCTGTGTGTGTTGTCTGTAGTGACTATGGCTGTGTGTGTTGTCTGTAGTGGCTATGGCTGTGTGTGTTGTCTGTAGTGGCTATGGCTGTGTGTGTTGTCTGTAGTGACTACGGCTGTGTGTGTTGTCTGTAGTGGCTATGGCTGTGTGTGTTGTCTGTAGTGGCTACGGCTGTGTGTGTTGTCTGTAGTGACTACGGCTGTGTGTGTTGTCTGTAGTGGCTATGGCTGTGTGTGTTATCTGTAGTGGCTACGGCTGTGTGTGTTGTCTGTAGTGGCTACGGCTGTGTGTGTTGTCTGTAGTGGCTACGGCTGTGTGTATTGTCTGTAGTGACTACGGCTGTGTGTGTTGTCTGTAGTGACTACGGCTGTGTGTGTTGTCTGTAGTGACTACGGCTGTGTGTGTTGTCTGTAGTGACTACGGCTGTGTGTGTTGTCTGTAGTGACTATGGCTGTGTGTGTTGTCTGTAGTGGCTACGGCTGTGTGTGCTGTCTGTAGTGACTACGGCTGTGTGTGTTGTCTGTAGTGGCTACGGCTGTGTGTGTTGTCTGTAGTGGTTATGGCTGTGTGTGTTGTATGTAGTGACTAAGGCTGTGTGTGTTGTCTGTGGTGACTACGGCTGTGTGTGTTGTCTGTAGTGGCTACGGCTGTGTGTGTTGTCTGTAGTGACTATGGCTGTGTGTGTTGTATGTAGTGACTATGGCTGTGTGTGTTGTCTGTAGTGGCTACGGCTGTGTGTGTTGTCTGTAGTGACTATGGCTGTGTGTGTTGTCTATAGTAACTACGGTTGTGTGTGCTGTCTGTAGTGACTACGGCTGTGTGTGTTGTCGGTAGTGGCTACGGCCGTGTGTGCTGTCTGTAGTAACTACGGCTGTGTGTGCTGTCTGCAATGACCACGGCTGTGTGTGTTGTCTGTAGTGGCTACAGCTGTTTGTGCTGTCTGTAGTGACTACGGCTGTGTGTGTTGTCTGTAGTGACTACGGCTGTGTGTGTTGTCTGTAGTGGCTACGGCTGTGTGTGTTGTCTGTAGTGACTACGGCTGTGTGTGTTGTCTGTAGTGGCTACGGCTGTGTGTGTTGTCTGTAGTGACTACGGCTGTGTGTGTTGTCTGTAGTGACTACGGCTGTGTGTGTTGTCTGTAGTGACTACGGCTGTGTGTGTTGTCTGTAGTGGCTACGGCTGTGTGTGTTGTCTGTAGTGGCTACGGCTGTGTGTGTTGTCTGTAGTGACTACGGCTGTTTGTGCTGTCTGTAGTGTCTATGGCTGTGTGTGTTGTCTGTAGCGACTACGGCTGTGTGTGTTGTCTGTAGTGACTATAGCTGTTTGTGCTGTCCGTAGTGACTACGGCTGTGTGTGTTGTCTGTAGTGACTACGGCTGTGTGTGTTGTCTGTAGTGGCTACGGCTGTGTGTGCTGTCTGTAGTCACTACGGCTGTGTGTGTTGTCTGTAGTGACTACGGCTGTGTGTGTTGTCTGTAGTGGCTACGGCTGTGTGTGTTGTCTGTAGTGACTATGGCTGTGTGTGTTGTATGTAGTGACTATGGCTGTGTGTGTTGTCTGTAGTGGCTACGGCTGTGTGTGTTGTCTGTAGTGACTATGGCTGTGTGTGTTGTCTGTAGTAACTACGGCTGTGTGTGCTGTCTGTAGTGACTACGGCTGTGTGTGTTGTCTGTAGTGGCTACGGCTGTGTGTGCTGTCTGTAGTAACTACGGCTGTGTGTGCTGTCTGCAGTGACCACGGCTGTGTGTGTTGTCTGTAGTGGCTACGGCTGTTTGTGCTGTCTGTAGTGACTACGGCTGTGTGTGTTGTCTGTAGTGACTACGTCTGTGTGTGTTGTCTGTAGTGACTACGGCTGTGTGTGTTGTCTGTAGTGACTACGGCTGTGTGTGTTGTCTGTAGTGGCTACGGCTGTGTGTGTTGTCTGTAGTGACTACGGCTGTGTGTGTTGTCTGTAGTGACTATGGCTGTGTGTGTTGTCTGTAGTGACTACGGCTGTGTGTGTTGTCTGTAGTGGCTACGGCTGTGTGTGTTGTCTGTAGTGACTACGGCTGTGTGTGTTGTCTGTAGTAACTACGGCTGTGTGTGTTGTCTGTAGTGGCTACGGCTGTGTGTGTTGTCTGTAGTGACTACGGCTGTTTGTGCTGTCTGTAGTGGCTACGGCTGTGTGTGTTGTCTGTAGCGACTACGGCTGTGTGTGTTGTCTGTAGTGACTATAGCTGTTTGTGCTGTTCGTAGTGACTACGGCTGTGTGTGTTGTCTGTAGTGACTACGGCTGTGTGTGCTGTCTGTAGTGGCTACGGCTGTGTGTGTTGTCTGTAGTGACTACGGCTGTGTGTGTTGTCTGTAGTGATTACGGTTGTGTGTGTTGTCTGTAGTGACTACGGCTGTGTGTGTTGTCTGTAGTGGCTACGGCTGTGTGTGTTGTCTGTAGTGACTACGGCTGTGTGTGTTGTCTGTAGTGACTACAGCTGTGTGTGTTGTCTGTAGTGGTTACGGCTGTGTGTGTTGTCTGTAGTGACTACGGCTGTGTGTGTTGTCTGTAGTGGCTACGGCTGTGTGTGTTGTCTGTAGTGACTACGGCTGTGTGTGTTGTCTGTAGTGGCTACGGCTGTGTGTGTTGTCTAGTGACTACGGCTGTGTGTGTTGTCTGTAGTGGCTACGGCTGTGTGTGTTGTCTGTAGTGACTACAGCTGTGTGTGTTGTCTGTCGTAACTACGGCTGTGTGTGTTGTCTGTAGTGACTACGGCTGTGTGTGTTGTCTGTAGTGACTACGGCTGTGTGTGTGTCTGTAGTGACTACAGTTGTGTGTGTTGTCTGTAGTGGCTACGGCTGTGTGTGTTGTCTGTAGTGACTACGGCTGTGTGTGTTGTCTGTAGTGGCTACGGCTGTGTGTGTTGTCTGTAGTGACTACAGCTGTGTGTGTTGTCTGTAGTGGCTACGGCTGTGTGTGTTGTCTGTAGTGGCTACGACTGTGTGTTTTCTGTAGTGACTACAGCTGTGTGTGTTGTCTGTAGTGACTACGGCTGTGTGTGTTGTCTGTAGTGACTACGGCTGTGTGTGTTGTCTGTAGTGACTACGGCTGTGTGTCTGTCTGTAGTGACTACGGCTGTGTGTGTTGTCTGTAGTGGCTACGGCTGTCTGTGTTGTCTGTAGTGGCTACGGCTGTGTGTGTTGTCTGTAGTGGCTACGGCTGTGTGTGTTGTCTGTAGTGGCTACGGCTGTGTGTGTTGTCTGTAGTGGCTATGGCTGTGTGTGTTGTCTGTAGTGGCTACGGCTGTGTGTGTTGTCTGTAGTGGCTATGGCTGTGTGTGTTTGTAGTGGCTATGGCTGTGTGTGTTGTCTGTAGTGGCTACGGCTGTGTGTGTTGTCTGTAGTGGCTACGGCTGTTTGTGCTGTCTGTAGTGACTACGGCTGTGTGTGTTGTCTGTAGTGGCTACGGCTGTGTGTGTTGTCTGTAGTGGGTACGGCTGTTTGTGCTGTCTGTAGTGACTACGGCTGTGTGTGTTGTCTGTAGTGGCTACGGCTGTGTGTGTTGTCTGTAGTGACTACGGCTGTGTGTGTTGTCTGTAGTGACTACGGCTGTGTGTGTTGTCTGTAGTGGCTACGGCTGTGTGTGTTGTCTGTAGTGGCTACGGCTGTGTGTGTTGTCTGTAGTGGCTACGGCTGTGTGTGTTGTCTGTAGTGACTACGGCTGTGTGTGTTGTCTGTAGTGACTACGGCTGTGTGTGTTGTCTGTAGTGGCTACGGCTGTGTGTGTTGTCTGTAGTGGGTACGGCTGTTTGTGCTGTCTGTAGTGACTACGGCTGTGTGTGTTGTCTGTAGTGACTACGGCTGTGTGTGTTGTCTGTAGTGGCTATGGCTGTGTGTGTTTGTAGTGGCTACGGCTGTGTGTGTTGTCTGTAGTGACTACGGCTGTGTATGTTGTCTGTAGTGACTACGGCTGTGTGTGTTGTCTGTAGTGGCTACGGCTGTGTGTGTTGTCTGTAGTGGCTACGGCTGTGTGTGTTGTCTGTAGTGACTACGGCTGTGTGTGTTGTCTGTAGTGACTACGGCTGTGTGTGTTGTCTGTAGTGGCTACGGCTGTGTGTGTTGTCTGTAGTGACTACGGCTGTGTGTGTTGTCTGTAGTGGCTACGGCTGTGCGGATCACTTCCTGGAGGGTGACACGCTGCTGCACTCGTGGGAGGCCCTGGGGCAGCTGCTGGTGGCGCCGGCTACGAGCGACATCATCTGTGACGTGGGCATGTGAGGGCGCGACCCTGACACACACACACACACACGTGACCCTGACACACACACACACGTGACCCTGACACACACACACACGCAACCCATACACACACACACACGCGCAACCCATACATACACACACGCAACCCATACACACACACACGCAACCCAACAACAACAACCGCCATTTGCCACTAAGTGGCGGTGACGTCAACACGACCCTTGTGCCAGGCCAAGTGCACCTTAATAATAGCATACGACGTTTCGATTGCAACACAAGCCATCATCATCAGGTATAAATGAAATAGCAACAAAAAATCTAACCAGAAAACTATAGACAGACATATAAGCAGACAGATATCACCAAGATACATAGAGAGAGTAACACAGGTACAGAGAGGGAGATCGTCTCTGTGGCGTTGCCTTAAATAGACAGAGGGGGGCGGAGGCAGAGAGAGGGAGGGGTTAGAGAAAAAAATTAACATGTCAATGAGTACGAAGAACGCGTAGTAAAGTACGCAGGCTTGAACATTAGGAGAGAGGGAGAAAGAACACACTAAATTAAATAACCTAGCAAAATATCGAAATGTTATGTATCTTTATACGTGACTTTACCGAAAGAACCAAAGAATAATTCCTGCAGTCACGAAAGCTCCAAAATTAAGATTGAACCACTTCTATGGTGAAGTTCCAAGTTTACCTTTTTCTCTCTCTCTGGGTTTTTTGTTTTCTCTCTCTGCCTGTGTATTTAGTGTAATTTTTTCTGTCTACACTCGTTTTTTGTCGTTCTTATGTTCTGCTCTGTCTGTGTGTCTCCGTTCCTCGTGTTTATGTTTTGTCTTTCTTTGGAATTTTCACAGTTAAATTCTAACTTAGCAATCTTTGAAATACGTAATCGACCAGGCTATGCGTTAATTGTGTGTTGACCGACTCTCTGTGTTGTATTACATAACATTTCGATATTTTGCTAGGTTATTTAATTTAGTGTGTTCTTTCTCCCTCTCTCCTAATGTTCAAGCCTGCGTACTTTACTACGCATTCTTCGTACTCATTGACATGTAATTTTTTCTCTAACCCCTCCCTCTTTCTGCCTCCGCCCCCCTCTGTCTATTTAAGGCAACGCCACAGAGACAATCTCCCTCTCTGTACCTGTGTTACTCTATGTATCTTGGTGATATCTGTCTGCTTATATGTCTGTCTATAGTTTTCTGGTTAGATTTTTTGTTGCTATTTCATTTATACCTGATGATGATTGCTTGTGTTGCAATCGAAACGTCGTATGCTATTATTTAATTTATTATTTTATCTTTATACGTGACTTTACCGAAAGAACCAAAGAATAACTCATACACACACACACATGCAACCCTGACACACACACGCGACCCTGACACACACACACACACACACGCAACCCATACCCACACACACACACTGACCCTGACACACACACACAACCCTGACACACAACAACAACCGACATTCAAAACTAAGTGGCGGTGATGTAACCACGGCGCTTGTGCCAGGCTAGGTGCACATTAAGGTCACGTGAAGTGTCGAACGCCCGCTCGTAGGAGGTCACGGGACAGATCCAGGTGCCATGGGTTTCTGACTGAGATGGCTGGCTGATGCGCCACCTGTGCCCCTTAATGTGCCAACTTGCTGTGCTTTAGCCACCCGGCGCTTCGCTCATCTTTGTGTCGCTCCACTGCCCTCCGTTGTTGCTGGATGGCGACTGCCTCCAACTGCCCAGTAGCATCCTTCATGAGCCTCTTCCACAGAGGCCGATTTTGACACCGCTGGAACCGGTCATCGGCAAGTCCACTCAGCTCAATATTCTGCTGTACCACATCGCTCCATGTCTTCTCTAGCCCATGCCGTGCCTGTTTAGCCCCCTCTATCCTGCCGAACAAAAGTTGTTGAGGCATGCGGTGGCCAGGCATGCAGACTCTCTCCAAAACTGCCCCATTATCAATTGGGAGCTGAGGGGGTGGAGTGTTTGATGGCACAATATATGCAGGCAGATGCTTAGGTTTGGCGGGGCTGATGGTGAGGCCCCATCTCTTAGTGCGACGCTCCAGGTTCAGCAGCAGCGCCTCCAACTCCTCCTCTGAGTGAGCAGCAATTACCAGATCATGGGCGTACATAACATGGTTGACCAATAGGGAGCCATCCCTTAACTGCACCCAGGTATCGATCAGCCTCCCAATGTATCTGTACCAGATCGAAATTCCTCCAGTACACCCATCAAAGGTTTCCCGAACTACGTGGTTGAAATAGATGTTAAATAATGTGGGAGCCAGAGGACATCCCTGTCCCACCCCAAGGTTAACAGGAAATGGCTCCGACTCCTGGCCACATAGTTTTACCCGGGCCTGCCATCATCATGACGGTCCTTAATAATTATGAGCAGAGTCAGGGACTCCGAAAGCACCAAGAACAACCCAGAGCCCAGCCGATTGATGGTATCATAGGCCTTGACCAGATCAATGAAGCAGAGGTGTAGGTCCTTTTGGAATTCCCTACACCTCTGCTGTAGCAGCCGGACAGATAATATGGCATCTGTGCAGGATCGCCCTCTCCTGAAACCAATTGAGGCTCCGCAAGCCACTCCTCAGCGTACCTGGCAAGGCGATGTTAAGTAAAAAACATACGAAGTATTCAAGAGACATCAACATAAAATATTGACAAGCTTTGCAGCCAGTCGCTCTCAAAACGCTCATGAAAGGGGCATGTTTCTAATTTGTCCGAGGGCTGCTGAGTCTCCACCGAGGGAGCGCTCCGATTGGCCGAAATTTGCGGCTCCGTGTGATATCGTGAAACAGAATTTATTCGAAACATTTATCTCTTAATAAAGACGATCGGGAGGGGACCCTACGGGTAGGCAGATCGTTCATTGAAACATCGTTAATCGATGGCATCGTAAACCGAGGGACTGTCGTATTTTCCCTGGAACGTCCTCGGCAAAAGGAAGTGGATTCTTAATGGATTGTTGGGTCACCTCCGACGTCGCGTTGTGGTAGACTGGGAGCGTGACGGGACACACATACATACATGCACGCTCACGCACGCACACGCATACACATGGACGCACCCACACGCACGTACACACAACAACAACCGCCATTCGCCACTAAGTGGCGGTGACGTCACCACGACGCTTGTGCCACACACACACGTACGCACACGCACATACATGCACACTCACGCACGCACATGCACACACACGGTCGGACCCACACGCACGTACACACATGCACGCGAGTTGTGTACCCGCAGAGTCGTGCTGTAGGGAGTTGTGTGCTGAGTTTCTGCCTTATCCACATTCCCAGGCCGGTGATGCACAAGAACGTGCGCTACAACTGCCGCGTCATCTTCCTTAACCGGTGAGGCCACGCGTGTGCATGTGTGAGTCCGTGTGTGGGTCGTGTGTGAGTCCGTGTGTGAGTCCGTGTGTGTGCGTGTGTGAGTGGGGAGCAGTAGTGTCGCGGTTAGCGGGCTGCGCTACGAACGAAGCGTCCCAAGTTCAATTCCCGCTCACGGCCATCACCGGTGACGATTATCTGAACCGGTCCTGGGCCTCCCCTAGGTCGACTCAGCCTCAAATGAGTACCTGGTGTGGTGTGTAAACATCACCACTAGGGAGACAAAGGCGGCCGGGCGTGGTGTTGGCCACCCACCCCCTCGTGTGCCGCGTTGGCCTTCATAGGTGCTCGCTAACAGCACTTGCCCTAAGTCTGTTAAGGCTATACGGGGGATCTTTGTCTTTTCTTGTGCGTGTGTGAGTCCGTGTATGTGTATGTGTGAGTCTGGGTGAGTCCGTGTGTGTGAGTCCGCGTGTGTGGGCGTGTGAGTCCATGTGTGTGTGGGTGTGAGTCCGCGTGTGTGCGGGCGTGAGTCCGCGTGTGTGGGCCCGTGTGAGTCCATGTGTGTTCGGGTGTGAGTGCGTGTGTGAGCCCGTGTGTGGGGAGGGTAGTCCAGCAGTTAGCGTGCTTTGATGACTATGTGTGATGAATTAATTAATCTTCAGCTGGAGTTGAACTCGGGTTGCCACGTAGCTGCCCGTGCCTGTCTCTGCCTCTCACCGCCACGCAGGAGGATCCTGCTGATCCGACCCAAGATGGTGCTGTGCAACCACGGCAACTACCGCGAGCTGCGCTGGTTCACTCCGTGGGCTCGCGAGCGGTGAGCCGTGCCGACTCGCAACATTGTCGTCGTCACCATCATCATTAGCATCATCATCATAGTCAGCAACATCACCATCACCGTCGTCATCAGCAACGATGGTGATGTTGTGTGAGGGAGTGATGTGAGTGGTGAGTGACACTGTGGTGTGAGTGGTGAGTGACACTGTGGTGTGAGTGGTGAGTGACACTGTGGTGTGAGTGGTGAGTGACACTGTGGTGTGAGTGGTGAGTGACACTGTGGTGTGAGTGGTGAGTGACACTGTGAGTGGTGAGTGGTTAGTGACACTGTGAGTGGTGAGTGACACTGTGGTGTGAGTGGTGAGTGACACTGTGGTGTGAGTGGTGAGTGACACTGAGTGGTTAGTGACACTGTGGTGTGAGTGGTGAGTGACACTGTGGTGTGAGTGGTGAGTGACACTGTGGTGTGAGTGGTGAGTGACACTGTGGTGTGAGTGGTGAGTGACACTGTGGTGTGAGTGGTGAGTGACACTGTGGTGTGAGTGGTGAGTGACACTGAGTGGTGAGTGACACTGTGGTGTGAGTGGTGAGTGACACTGTGGTGTGAGTGGTTAGTGACACTGAGTGGTTAGTGACACTGTGGTGTGAGTGGTGAGTGACACTGTGAGTGGTGAGTGACACTGTGAGTGGTGAGTGACACTGTGGTGTGAGTGGTGAGTGACACTGTGGTGTGAGTGGTGAGTGACACTGTGGTGTGAGTGGTGAGTGACACTGTGAGTGGTGAGTGGTTAGTGACACTGTGAGTGGTGAGTGACACTGTGGTGTGAGTGGTGAGTGACACTGTGAGTGGTGAGTGACACTGTGAGTGGTGAGTGACACTGTGGTGTGAGTGGTGAGTGACACTGTGAGTGGTGAGTGACACTGTGAGTGGTGAGTGACACTGTGGTGTGAGTGGTTAGTGACACTGTGGTGTGAGTGGTTAGTGACACTGTGGTGTGAGTGGTGAGTGACACTGTGGTGTGAGTGGTGAGTGACACTGTGGTGTGAGTGGTGAGTGACACTGTGGTGTGAGTGGTGAGTGACACTGTGGTGTGAGTGGTGAGTGACACTGTGGTGTGAGTGGTTAGTGACACTGTGAGTGGTGAGTGACACTGTGGTGTGAGTGGTTAGTGACACTGTGGTGTGAGTGGTGAGTGACACTGTGGTGTGAGTGGTGAGTGACACTGTGGTGTGAGTGGTGAGTGACACTGTGGTGTGAGTGGTGAATGACACTGTGAGTGGTGAGTGGTGAGTGACACTGTGGTGTGAGTGGTGAGTGACACTGTGGTGTGAGTGGTGAGTGACACTGTGGTGTGAGTGGTTAGTGACACTGTGAGTGGTGAGTGACACTGTGAGTGGTGAGTGGTTAGTGACACTGGTGTGAGTGGTGAGTGACACTGTGGTGTGAGTGGTGAGTGGTGAGTGACACTGTGGTGTGAGTGGATGAGTGACACTGTGGTGTGAGTGGTGAGTGACACTGTGGTGTGAGTGGTGAGTGACACTGTGGTGTGAGTGGTGAGTGACACTGTGGTGTGAGTGGTGAGTGACACTGTGGTGTGAGTGGTTAGTGACACTGTGGTGTGAGTGGTGAGTGACACTGTGGTCTGAGTGGTGAGTGACACTGTGGTGTCAGTGGTGAGCGGTTAGTGACACTGTGGTGTGAGTGGTTAGTGACACTGTGAGTGGTGAGTGACACTGTGGTGTGAGTGGTGAGTGACACTGTGGTGTGAGTGGTTAGTGACACTGTGGTGTGAGTGGTGAGTGACACTGTGGTGTGAGTGGTGAGTGACACTGTGGTGTGAGTGGTGAGTGACACTGTGGTGTGAGTGGTTAGTGATACTGTGAGTGGTGAGTGACACTGTGGTGTGAGTGGTGAGTGACACTGTGGTGTGAGTGGTTAGTGACACTATGAGTGGTGAGTGACACTGTGGTGTGAGTGGTTAGTGACACTGTGGTGTGAGTGGTGAGTGACACTGTGAGTGGTGAGTGACACTGTGGTGTGAGTGGTGAGTGACACTGTGGTGTGAGTGGTTAGTGACACTGTGAGTGGTGAGTGACACTGTGGTGTGAGTGGTTAGTGACACTGTGGTGTGAGTGGTGAGTGACACTGTGAGTGGTGAGTGACACTGTGGTGTGAGTGGTTAGTGACACTGTGGTGTGAGTGGTGAGTGACACTGTGGTGTGAGTGGTGAGTGACACTGTGGTGTGAGTGGTGAGTGACACTGTGGTGTGAGTGGTGAGTGACACTGTGGTGTGAGTGGTTAGTGACACTGTGGTGTGAGTGGTGAGTGACACTGTGAGTGGTGAGTGACACTGTGGTGTGAGTGGTGAGTGACACTGTGGTGTGAGTGGTGAGTGACACTGTGGTGTGAGTGGTGAGTGACACTGTGGTGTGAGTGGTGAGTGACACTGTGGTGTGAGTGGTGAGTGACACTGTGGTGTGAGTGGTGAGTGACACTGTGGTGGGAGTGGTGAGTGACACTGTGGTGTGAGTGGTGAGTGACACTGTGGTGGGAGTGGTTAGTGACACTGTGAGTGGTGAGTGGTGAGTGACACTGTGGTGTGAGTGGTGAGTGACACTGTGGTGTGAGTGGTGAGTAACACTGTGGTGTGAGTGGTTAGTGACACTGTGGTGTGAGTGGTTAGTGACACTGTGTGTGCACCGCTGTGGTTCATGCAGGGAGGTGGAGGATCATTATCTGCCACGCATCATCCAGGAGATAACTGAGCAGGTAACCCATGGATGGGCGGGGCGCCAGCATTGTCGTCTGCTGCGCCTACCTCGGTACTTGAGTGCTGCTGTCGTGTTTGTGTGTCACTGCCTGTGTGACGCTAGACGTGACGCTAGCGGTGACACTCACAGTGACACTCACGGTGACGCTCATGGGGACACTAGCGGTGAGTGAGAGAGCGAGAGTGTGAGTGTATGTGAGTGAGTGTATGTGAGTGAGCGACTGAATGAGTGGAGTTTGTCTGTTCTCCCCCTGTTCAGCATGGGGTTCCCTCCCTACGGCTTGTCCAGTTTCCCTCCTCCCCATAGCTAAACCCACACACACACACCACACACACACATACCACACACACTACACACCACACACACCACACACTACACACACTGCACACACACCACACACACCACACACACACCAAACACGCACAGCGCAACTTGCTATCGGCCAAAACCACATCCCCCAACAATGCTGACAAATCAACTGCGGAACCACTCGATTGGGATCACACAGTCGCCGCAGTAGCAGCAGCAGCAGAAGCGACATCGCCCCCCCCCCTCCGCCTGTTGAGCCTCTTGAGCGAGAGTCTGGAGGCTGGGCCCGCCGGTGACGATAGGTGCCGGCGGCTGTGGGGGTTGACCGCGCCAGGTGACGGTGCCGCTGGGTGACGCCGTGCTCGCCACGCTGGACACCTGCATCGGCAGCGAGAGCTGCGAGGAGCTCTGGGCCCCCCACAGGTAGCAAAACAAAGGAGAGGGGGGGCGCGTTATCAGTGGTTGTGGCGGTGGTGGCGGTGGTGGTAGTGGCGGTATTGGTGGTGGCGGTATTGGTGGTGGCGGTATTGGTGGTGGTGGTAGTATCGGTGGTGGTGGTATTGGTGGTTGTGGTGGTGGCGGTGGTGGTGGTTGCGGTTGTGGTGGTGGTAGCGGTGTTGGTGGTGGTGGGAGTTGTGGTGGTGATTTTGGTTGTGGTGGTATTGTTGCTGTGTGCGTGCTGCAGCCCCCACGTGGCTATGGGTCTGGACGGGGTGGAGATCTTCACCAACGGCTCCGGTAGCCACCACGAGCTGCGCAAGGCTCACGTGCGAGTCGACCTCGTGAGGTCGGCCACCACCAAGGTGGCAGACTCACACCACAGACTCACCACAGACTCACCACAAACTCACACCACAGACTCTCCAGAGACTCACCACAGACTCACACCCCAGACTCAGACCACAGACTCACCACAGACTCACACCACAGACTCACCACAGAATCACCACAGACTCACACCCCAGACTCACACCACAGACTCACCACAGACTCTCACCACAGACTCACACCACAGACTCACCACAGACTCACCACAGACTCACACCACAGACTCACCACAGATTCACCACAGACTCACCACAGACTCACACCACAGACTCACACCACAGACTCACCACAGACTCACACCACAGACTCACCACAGACTCACCACAGACTCACCACAGACTCACACCCCAGACTCACACCACAGACTCACCACAGACTCACCACAGACTCACCACAGACTCTCACCACAGACTCACACCACAGACTCACCACAGCACAGACTCACACCACAGACTCACACCACAGACTCACCACAGACTCACACCACAGACTCACACCACAGACTCACCACAGACTCACACCACAGACTCACACCACAGACTCACACCACAGACTCACCACAGACTCACCACAGACTCACACCACAGACTCACCACAGACTCACACCACAGACTCACCACAGACTCACCACACAGACTCACCTCAGACTCACACCAGAGACTCACCACAGACTCACCACAGACTCACACCACAGACTCACCTCAGACTCACACCACAGACCCACCACAGACTCACCACAGACTCACCACAGACTCACCTCAGACTCACACCACAGACTCACCACAGACTCACACCACAGACTCACCATAGACTCACACCACAGGCTCACACCACAGACTCACACCACAGACTCACACCACAGACTCACCACAGACTCACTACAGACTCACACCACAGACTCACACCACAGACTCACCACAGACTCACACCACAGACTCACCACAGGCTCACACCACGTACTCACACCACAGACTCACACCACAGACTCACCTCAGACTCACACCACAGACTCACACCACAGACTCACACCACAGACTCACACCACAGACTCACACCACAGACTCACCACAGACTCACCACAGACTCACACCACAGACTCACCACAGACTCACCACAGACTCACACCACAGACTCAACACAGACTCAACACAGACTCACCACAGACTCACACCACAGACTCACACCACAGACTCACACCACAGACTCACCACAGACTCACCACAGACTCACCACAGAATAATCACAGACTCGCACCACAGACTTGCACCACAGACTCACCACAGACTCACACCACAGACTCACACCACAGACTCACACCACAGACTCACCACAGACTCACACCACAGATTCACCACAGACTCACCACAGACTCACACCACAGACTCACCACACAGACTCACACCACAGACTCACCACAGACTCACCACAGACTCACACCACAGACTCACCACACAGACTCACACCACAGACTCACACCACAGACTCACCACATAGACTCACACCACAGACTCACACCACAGACTCACCACAGACTCACCACAGACTCACCACACAGACTCACCACAGACTCACCACAGATTCACCACAGACTCACCACATACTCACCACAGACTCACACCACAGATTCACCACACAGACTCACACCACAAACTCACCACACAGACTCACACCACAGACTCACCACAGACTCACACCACAGACTCACCACAGACTCACACCACAGACTCACACCACAGACTCACACCACAGACTCACCACAGACTCACCACAGACTCACCACAGACTCACACCACAGACTCACCACACAGACTCACCACAGACTCACACCACGGACTCACACCACAGATTCACCATACAGACTCACACCACAGACTCACACCACAGACTCACCACACAGACTCACCACAGACTCACACCACGGACTCACACCACAGACTCACCATAGACTCACACCACAGACTCACCACACAGACTCACACCACAGACTCACCACAGACTCACACCACAGATTCACCACAGACTCACCACAGACTCACACCACAGACTCACCACACAGACTCACACCACAGACTCACCAAAGACTCACCACAGACTCACACCACAGACTCATCACACAGACTCACACCACAGACTCACCACACAGACTCACACCACAGACTCACACCACAGACTCACCACAGACTCACACCACAGACTCACCACAGACTCACCACAGACTCACCACACAGACTCACCACAGACTCACCACAGACTCACCACAGATTCACCACAGACTCACCACATACTCACCACAGACTCACACCACAGATTCACCACACAGACTCGCACCACAAACTCACCACACAGACTCACCACAGACTCACACCACAGACTCACACCACAGACTCACCACAGACTCACACCACAGACTCACCACAGACTCACCACAGACTCACACCACAGACTCACCACACAGACTCACCACAGACTCACACCACGGACTCACACCACAGATTCACCATACAGACTCACACCACAGACTCACCACACAGACTCACACCACAGACTCACCACACAGACTCACACCACAGACTCACACCACAGACTCACCACAGACTCACACCACAGACTCACACCACAGACTCACACCACAGACTCACCACAGACTCACACCACAGACTCACCACAGACTCACCACAGACTCACCACACAGACTCACCACAGACTCACCACAGACTCACCACAGATTCACCACAGACTCACCACAGACTCACACCACAGATTCACCACACAGACTCACACCACAAACTCACCACACAGACTCACACCACAGACTCACCACAGACTCACACCACAGACTCACCACAGACTCACACCACAGACTCACACCACAGACTCACACCACAGACTCACCACAGACTCACCACAGACTCACACCACAGACTCACCACACAGACTCACCACAGACTCACACCACGGACTCACACCACAGATTCACCATACAGACTCACACCACAGACTCACACCACAGACTCACCACACAGACTCACCACAGACTCACACCACGGACTCACACTACAGACTCACCATAGACTCACACCACAGACTCACCACAGACTCACCACAGACTCACACCACAGACTCACCATAGACTCACACCACAGACTCACACCACAGACTCACCACAGACTCACCATAGACTCACACCACAGATTCACCATACAGACTCACACCACAGACTCACACCACAGACTCACCACACAGACTCACCACAGACTCACACCACAGACTCACCATAGACTCACACCACAGACTCACACCACAGACTCACACCACAGACTCACCACAGACTCACCACAGACTCACCACAGACTCACACCACAGATTCACCATACAGACTCACACCACAGACTCACACCACAGACTCACACCACAGACTCACCACACAGACTCACCACAGACTCACACCACAGACTCACACCACAGACTCACCACAGAATAATCACAGACTCGCACCACAGACTTGCACCACAGACTCACACCACAGACTCACCACAGACTCACACCACAGACACCACAGACTCACCACACAGACTCACCACAGACTCACACCACGGACTCACACCACAGATTCACCATACAGACTCACACCACAGACTCACCACACAGACTCACACCACAGACTCACCACACAGACTCACACCACAGACTCACACCACAGACTCACCACAGACTCACACCACAGACTCACACCACAGACTCACACCACAGACTCACCACAGACTCACACCACAGACTCACCACAGACTCACCACAGACTCACCACACAGACTCACCACAGACTCACCACAGACTCACCACAGACTCACCACAGACTCACCACAGACTCACACCACAGATTCACCACACAGACTCACACCACAAACTCACCACACAGACTCACACCACAGACTCACCACAGACTCACACCACAGACTCACCACAGACTCACACCACAGACTCACACCACAGACTCACACCACAGACTCACCACAGACTCACCACAGACTCACACCACAGACTCACCACACAGACTCACCACAGACTCACACCACGGACTCACACCACAGATTCACCATACAGACTCACACCACAGACTCACACCACAGACTCACCACACAGACTCACCACAGACTCACACCACGGACTCACACTACAGACTCACCATAGACTCACACCACAGACTCACCACAGACTCACCACAGACTCACACCACAGACTCACCATAGACTCACACCACAGACTCACACCACAGACTCACCACAGACTCACCATAGACTCACACCACAGATTCACCATACAGACTCACACCACAGACTCACACCACAGACTCACCACACAGACTCACCACAGACTCACACCACAGACTCACCATAGACTCACACCACAGACTCACACCACAGACTCACACCACAGACTCACCACAGACTCACCACAGACTCACCACAGACTCACACCACAGATTCACCATACAGACTCACACCACAGACTCACACCACAGACTCACACCACAGACTCACCACACAGACTCACCACAGACTCACACCACAGACTCACACCACAGACTCACCACAGAATAATCACAGACTCGCACCACAGACTTGCACCACAGACTCACACCACAGACTCACCACAGACTCACCACAGACTCACACCACAGACTCACCACAGACTCACACCACAGACTCACCACAGACTCACACCACAGACACCACAGACTCACCACATACTCACACCACAGATTCACACCACAGACTCACCACAGACTCACACCACAGACTCACCACAGACTCACACCACAGACTCACACCACAGACTCACCACAGACTCACACCACAGACTCACACCACAGACTCACACCACAGACTCACCACACAGACTCACACCACAGACTCACACCACAGACTCACCACACAGACTCACCACACAGACTCACCACAGACTCACCACAGACTCACACCACAGACTCACACCACAGACTCACACCACAGATTCACCACACAGACTCGCACCACAGACTCACACCACAGACTCACCACACACTCACACCACAGACTCACCACAGATTCACACCACAGAATCACCACAGACTCACCACACAGACTCACACCACAGACTCACACCACAGACTCACACCACAGACTCACACCACAGACTCACCACAGACTCACACCACAGACTCACACCACAGACTCACCACAGACTCACACCACAGACTCACCACAGATTCACCACAATATTATACAAAGGCACTGCCACTGTAATCATGAGCTGATAAATTTTTCTGTTGAATATTTCAGATTTACTGCATCACTCCACATGCCGCATTCTCCTCTCATTAATAATCATGAGCGGGTGACGTCACTCCACATGCCGCACCCCTCCCCTCATTAATAATCATGAGCGGGTGACGTCACTCCACATGCCGCACCCCTCCCCAATCATCATGAGCGGGTGACGTCACTCCACATAGGGCAACCTCCCCTTATTAATTATCATGAGTTGAACAATTTTTCTATTTAATTTGTCTGATTTACTGCAATATACACCCGTCCTTGGACGGGCAAACAAGCTAGTAATCCATAAGGGGTTTTTTTGGTGGGTTAGATGGCATAAATATGAATGTGTTGTTAAACTCGCCACTACCCGATGGCGCAGCCAATAATTATCAGCAAGGGGCTTGAGACGTAAACAACACGTGGGCAATTCGTTACCACTCCAGCACTAACCGGTTGCCGTGTGTTGGAAAGTTAAACCCACAACAGCGATTACGATTCAAGTAGCTGGTGACGTTTCGCTGGTGATTAGAACAACAACCACAACAACAACCACAAAAACCACAACAATTACAACAACAACCACATCAACAACCACAAAAACATCGACAAAAACCACAACAACAATCACAGAAACTACAACAACCACGACAACCACAAAAACCACAACAACAACCACATCAACAACCACAACAACAACCACAAAAACTACAACCACATCAACAATCACATCAACAACCACATCAACAAGAAGCAGCCTCGTTGGGCGACAGAACAGAGTGGACTTGTGCCCGTGCGTGCAGAGCGGTGGCGTCTACGTCTTCTCCAACCAGAAAGGCTGCGATGGAGACCGCCTCTACTACGACGGCTGTGCCATGATCGCCGTCAACGGGAGGCTGCTGGCGCAGGGATCACAGTTCTCACTCGACGATACGGTGAGCGGCGCTACTCACCACCACCCACCACCCGGTGCCTACCGCCCACCACCCACCCACCACCCCAGCAGCGTGTGGGCTTCACGGGGACCCGTGCTTGCGTGTGTGCATGTGTGCATGTGTGCGTGCATACGCGTGTGTGTGTGCGTGCATGCGTACTTGTGCGCACCCGGGAGCGCAGGAGGTGATCACGGCCACCGTGGACCTGGAGGACGTTCGCAGCTACCGCGGGGAGAGGTCCTCCAGGAACCTGGCTGTGAGTAGCGCAGCAGCGGCGCCGACCGCCCTCACCGACACCGCTTCTCCCCCCTCCCCTCCCCCGCTGCCGTGTGCCGAGGCTACGGTTGGACGGGCGGCGGTGGCGGTGGTGGAGGAACCTTTTGTATTTTTGTGCAGGCGGCGCGGAGCGGGCGCTACCCGCGCGTCCGCGTCCCCTTTGCGCTCTCTTCGCACGATGACCTCACGGTGACCCCCAGCCCCTACCTCGAGTGGTGCTACCACTCGGCGGAGGAGGAGATCAGGTGAGGCCTACTCCGAAGCCTCCTCTGAGGCCTGAGCAGCCCCACGCTTACATCCATCAGCCCCCCTTCCTTCCATCCATCAGCCCCCCATGCTTACATCCATCAGCCCCCCACGCTTCCATCCATCAACCCCCCATGCTTACATCCATCAGCCCCCCACGCTTACATCCATCAGCCCCCCACGCTTACATCCATCAGCCCCCCACACTTACATCCATCAGCCCCCCACGCTGCCATCCATCCATCAACCCCCCACGCTTTCATCCATCAGCCCCCCACGCTTCCATCCATCAGCCCCCCACGCTTACATCCATCAGCCCCCCACGCTTCCATCCATCAACCCCCCACGCTTCCATCCATCAGCCCCCCACGCTTACATCCATCAGCCCCCCACGCTTACATCCATCAGCCCCCCATGCTTACATCCATCAGCCCCCCACGCTTACATCCATCAGCCCCCCACGCTTCCATCCATCAACCCCCCATGCTTCCATCCATCAGCCCCCCACGCTTACATCCATCAGCCCCACACGCTTCCATCCATCAGCCCCCCACGCTTACATCCATCAGCCCCCCACGCTTACATCCATCAGCCCCACACGCTTCCATCCATCAGCCCCCCATGCTTACATCCATCAGCCCCCTACGCTTACATCCATCAGCCCCCCACGCTTACATCCATCAGCCCCCCACGCTTCCATCCATCAACCCCCCACGCTTACATCCATCAGCCCCCCACGCTTACATCAATCAGCCCCCCACGCTTTCATCCATCAGCCCCCCACGCTTCCATCCATCAGCCCCCCACGCTTACATCAATCAGCCCCCCACGCTTTCATCCATCAGCCCCCCACGCTTCCATCCATCAACCCCCCACGCTTACATCCATCAGCCCCCCACGCTTACATCCATCAGCCCCCCACGCTTACATCCATCAGCCTCCCACGCTTACATCCATCAGCCCCCCACGCTTCCATCCATCAACCCCCCATGCTTCCATCCATCAGCCCCCCACGCTTACATCCATCAGCCCCCCACGCTTACATCCATCAGCCTCCCACGCTTACATCCATCAGCCCCCCATGCTTCCATCCATCAACCCCCCACGCTTCCATCCATCAACCCCCCACGCTTCCATCCATCAGCCCCCTATGCTTACATCCATCAGCCCCCCTTCCTTCCATCCATCAGCCCCCCATGCTTACATCCATCAACCCCCCACACTTCCATTCATCAGCCCCCCACGCTTACATCCATCAGCCCCCCACGCTTCCATCCATCAACCCCCCACGCTTCCATCCATCAACCCCCCACGCTTCCATCCATCAGCCCCCCACGCTTACATCAATCAGCCCCCCACGCTTCCATCCATCAACCCCCCACGCTTCCATCCATCAACCCCCCACGCTTCCATCCATCAACCCCCCACGCTTACATCAATCAGCCCCCCACGCTTCCATCCATCAACCCCCCACGCTTCCATTCATCAGCCCCCCACGCTTACATCCATCAGCCCCCCACGCTTCCATCCATCAACCCCCCACGCTTCCATCCATCAACCCCCCACGCTTCCATCCATCAGCCCCCTACGCTTACATCCATCAACCCCCACGCTTCCATCCATCAACCCCCACGCTTACATCCATCAACGCCCACGCTTACATCAATCAGCCCCCCACGCTTCCATCCATCAACCCCCCACGCTTCCATTCATCAGCCCCCCACGCTTCCATCCATCAACCCCCCACGCTTACATCCATCAGCCCCCCACGCTTACATCCATCAACCCCCCACGCTTTCATCCATCAGCTCCCCGCCCTTCTGTAGTGACTGGGAATGTCACCGTGTGGTGCCGGGCCTGCGAGGCCACGGCGGGACGTCTACTGTTGTGTGTACACCCCGGACACACGGGGTGTAGTACCAGCCCTAGTGGGGGCTTGGGTGAGCGCTGGCTAAGCGTGCGGTGTGGGCTCCCGTTGAGAGAGAGCGAGAGAGCGTCAACCAGCTGGGGTTACGTTGGGGGCACGATACTCTGGCTGACCTGGGGACACGTGACCGGATGATACTGGAGGGGGGCCACCGGTGGAGGGGGCCAACGGGTGGCCACGTGGTCCGGGAAGAACTCTCGAGAGCCTTCGGGCAAGGGGGCGAGAGAGTCCGAGAAGGTGGGCGGGGCGAGAGGCGGAGCCGGCCCTAGCCCGGCCCCATATAAGGGGGGGCCCCGTGAGGGGCTCGGGGTTCTTCCTGTTGGAGAGGCAGGAGATCCACGTCAAGCTTGAAGAAGCCTCCAGCCACGCGGTCCGGGACCCAGCTCGCGGTCCGGACCGGGATAGCGGAACCGTGTCTAGTTCCGCCGTAGCGTGGCTAGTTGGGTGATCACCACCCGAGAGGGTGTCGTGTTAATAGCCCTAGCTGTGCAAATTAGTTAACTCAGTTGGACTCACTCCACTTCCATCCATCTAGAGTGTTCCAGACGGCCGCGTCCTCAACATCACCACCATCATCATTATCACCACCATCACCACCACCAGCATACCGTACGTTGAACTTCTTGTGTGCGTTAGCCAACCATGCTAATCGGTGGTGCGGGGGGAGGTGGAGGACAGCAAACTGAATGTAAATAGTCCGTAGTGAGTCGGCTGTTGCAGGCCTGCGCCTTTACTCCACGTTCTGTCTTGCAGCCTGGGCCCCGCCTGCTGGCTCTGGGACTACCTGCGGAGGAGCAACCAGGTGACTCCGCATAGCCACACTCCACACAGCTTCCCCTCTCACAGCTTCCCCTGTGCGATGATCATACAGTGATCGTGCGGTGATTGTGTGATGCTTGCGTGGCGCTTGCAGGGAGGGTTCTTCCTGCCGCTGAGCGGAGGCATCGACTCGGCGGCCACCGCCTGCATCGTCTACTCTATGTGCCGCCTCGTGTGCCGGGCCGCCCTGCAGGGCAGTGAGTGCCCTGCACCCGCTGGCGTGGACGTTGGCGCCACTGTGTGACGGCTCGATCCAGCGCTTCCCCACGCCCAGCGTGTTCTTGCCGGAGTGAATCCGCGAGTGGAGATCGCAGCGTCAGTAACCGTCGGTAGTTAGCGATAGACGATCGACCGGGTGAGCGGGTGCACGGGTGCCGCGGTGGCCAGGAGATGTTAACCACCTCGCCTGGTGTGCAGGAAGTCGTGGGACCGATCCCGACCCTGACGACGCCTGCTGCTGCTGTATATTTAGAGTTTGCGGGTCTCTCTCTCTTTTTTTTTTTACGATCAGAGGAAGCAAGAAGATGCTCGGTGTAGTCGGCACTTTGCTTCGTTCATCATTTCGCTTTTTGTTTTTTTTAACGCTTTGCTTTATGTAAACCTCCCCCCCCCCCCCCCTTTTTAAATGAAAGATTCACAAAAGATTTCACACTCTGCTCTCCTTACCCCTTCCCTCTCTCTCTATCCCCTCTCTCTACCCCCCCTCTCTCTCTATCCCCTCTCTCTCTACTCCATGTATATGTTCCCCCTATGTTTTATATGTAATATATGTAATTTATTTTTTACAAGTGCTGCATCTGCACCCAGCCCTTCTCGCCCCGTGGTGGTCGCGTGGAGTTTTCTCTGGGCCTTCCGGTGTTTCCCTCCACATTTAGAATCGACGTCACCACACGTTTAGAGTTATTTGGCTGCTGCTATGAATTTCCACGTGACGATAATAATAAGCCACTTCTTTGAACTACGATTTGTGATAGCTCAGTGGGGCCTTACCTGGTAAAATAAAAATTGTTCAGTTTAGAATGGGTGAGTGAGTGGGCGAGTGGGTGAATGAACGAGTGGGCGAGTGAGTGAGCGTGTGAGCAAGTGGGTGAATGAGCGAGTGGGTGAGCGAGTGGGTGAATGAACGAGTGGGTGTGTGGGTGAGCCAGTGGGTGAATGAACGAGTGGGTGAGCGAGTGGGTGTGTGGGTGAGCAAGTAGGTGAATGAACGAGTGGGTGTGTGGGTGAACAAGTGGGTGAATGAACGAGTGGGTGTGTGAGTGGGCGAGTGGGTGATTGAACGAGTGGGTGTGTGGGTGAGTGAGTGGGCGAGTGGGTGAATGAACGAGTGGGTGTGTGAGTGGGTGAGCGTGTGAGCAAGTGGGTGAATGAACGAGTGGGTGAGCAAGTGGATGAATGAGCGAGTGGGTGAGCGAGTGGGTGTGTGGGTGAGCGTGTGAGCAAGTGGGTGAATGAACGAGTGAGTTGGCGAGTGGGTGAATGAACGCGTGGGTGTGTGGGTGAGCGAGTGGGTGAATGAACGAGTGGGTGTGTGAGTGAGCGAGTGGGTGAGCGTGTGAGCAAGTGGGTGAATGAACGAGTGGGTGAGCAAGTGGATGAATGAACGAGTGGGTGAGCGAGTGGGTGTGTGGGTGAGCGTGTGAGCAAGTGGGTGAATGAACGAGTGGGTGTGCGAGTGGGCGAGTGGGTGAATGAACGAGTGGGTGTGTGCATGCAGACACGCAGGTGATGGGCGATGCGCGACGTCTGCTGGGCGACGCCGACTACGTGGCGTGGGAGCCCGAGCGGCTGTGCGGGCTGCTCTTCACCACCTGCTACATGGGCAGCGAGAACTCCTCCGGCGACACCAAGCGGCGTGCCTCCCAGCTCGCAGCGCAGATCGGCAGGTGAGGCCTGTGCTGGCACTCCTCAATCAGCTGCTTGGTCGGCTGCTTGGTCACGGCTCGATCAGAGCTCGATCGGCCACCACTTGGGCGTGTGTAGTGATGGCTGTGTGTGTGTGTGTGACACAGCCACCACCTGGGTGTGTGTATCGACGCGGCCGTGCAGGCTGTGGTCTCTGTGCTGCGCGTGGCCACGGGGTTGACTCCGCGTTTCCTTGCCCACGGGGGCAGCGCCCGGGAAAACCTCGCCTTGCAGAACGTCCAGGTGACTAGAGATGCACGCTGACACCCACACGCAGACTCGCACGCAGACTCACACGGAGACCCACACGGAGACTCACACGGAGACTCACATGGAGACCCACACGGAGAGCCACACAAAGACCCACATGGAGACTCACACGCAGACTTACACGCAGACTCAACAACAACAACCGCCATTCGCCACTAAGTGGCGGCGACGTCACGACGACGCTTGTGCCAGGCCATGTGCACCTTGAGGCCACGTGAAGTGTCGAACGCCCGCTGGCAGGTCACGGGGTAGACCCAGGTGCCACGGGTCGACTGATCGAGATGACCGAGATGACTGGCTGATGCACCACCTGTGCCCCCTACTGTGCCAACTTGCTGTGCTTTAGCCACCCGGCGCTCCGCTCGTTGTGGTGAGCGTCTCTCCTCCGCCCTCCGTTGTTGTTGGAGGGCGACTGCCTCCAACTGCCCAGTAGCGTCCTTCACGAGCCTCCTCCACAGAGGCCGATCTTGACACCGCTGGTACCAGTCATCGGCAAGTCCACTCAGCTCCACGTCCTCCTGTACCACATCACTTCATCTCTTCTCTAGCCCGTGCCGCGCCCGTTTAGCCCCCTCGATCCGGCCGAACAAAAGCTGTTTAGGCATGCGGTGGCTGGGCATGCGGGCTACATGACCCATCCAACGCAGCCTTGCCTGCCGGAGGAGCTCACCGATGGGACTCTGCCCAGATCTTTCAAGGATTTGTGAGCTCCTCACACAATCCAGCCTGGTTAAACCCAGGATGGATCGTAGGCAGGCCAGCCTAAATGTTTCCAACCGGCGAAGATGCTCCATTAGGGGGGTCCACGTTTCGCAAGCGTAGAGAAGGGAGGGAATCATACTCTTAGTTCATTCGGTAAAGTCACGTAGGTAAAAAATGAAATTAAAATTAATAAAAATAAAACAATAAAAAATAACGACGTTTCGGAGGCAACACAAGTCTCCGTCATCAGGTGGGACCGTCACAGCCAGATTTGCTGCATCAAGTGAGGCAAGGATTCAAGATGTAAGCCCTTAAATGCAAGTTGAGGGGGGAGGAGAGGGGGGGGAGCTTATCAGAATGTGGTAGCCAATGAATGGAACGTATCGGGAGGGAGGGGGGCGGAGCTAAAAGAAGGCACGAAATGCTACGTAGAACGTATCGGGAGGGGGGAGGGGACGGGGCCAAAAGAATGCACGAAGTGGTACGCAAGAGCCGGCAACGTGGACGTGGTTGTGTGCAAGTAACTATTGTTGCACATGCTAACGTATTGGACGGGGAGGGGGAGGGGGGGCTAAAAGAGGGTATGGGGTGCAAGTGTACGTGGACATGTGTATGTACAAGCACCTGTTGATACACATGACAGAAAAGAACGAAAATGCCCATGTTTATACCAGTGTTGGCTGACAATAAAGAGAGTACTGTTAAACACTGGGGATGTTAACACTCGGTAAAGTAAAGTAAAATAGTGCCTGTCAGGTAAGATGGTCCAAAAATGTGTAATTAAGTTTATTTTTCATGGTTGATAACATCTTTCCAATGATTACTAAGTTTGTACCCATCATAACGGTTGAAATTATGTCTGTGTTTGTATATCTGAATGGCTTCGTGTACAAACCTTTGATGGTAGCCAGAGGGTTTGCAGAGTACCTTAGTCTCGGAGAAAACAATCTCATGAGAGCCCACCGCGTTGTAGCAATGATCGGCAACGGCAGAAGACTCAATTTTGCCGTGTTTCAAATCTGACTTGTGCTCGCGGACACGATCAGAGACATGACGTTTCGTTTCCCCAATGTAACAGTCACCACAGCTGCAACTCAGTTTATAGACTCCAGGGTAATGCAAGTCAGGGATGACATCCTTCACAGATGGAATTAGATCACGGATTTATGTACTGTACTGAATCGGACTTGGATCTTATGTTTGTTTAGAATTTTGGAGATATTTTGGTCACGCCTGCTATGTATGGTAACGTGACAGTTTTGATCGGAGTTTCATGTGGCTGTTTCTGTATGGTGGGAGAAACAGCTTGGCGGATGGTGCGTTCAGAGTATCCATTCATCCTGAGGGCCCGATGTACATGTCTCAATTCACTGGCCAGGTGGTGTTGGTCAGAGATGCCATGACTTTACCGAAAGAACTAAGAGTATGAATCCTTGCAGTCACGAAAGCTTCAAATCTAGAATTAAGGGAGGGAATGACTGTGGCGAGAAGACCTGAAGCTTCGTGTGGAGCGACAGACCAGGTAGCTTCCACACAGCGTTACGCAACCGATGAAAAGATATTGCCGCTCGACTGATTCGGAGTGAGACCTCTGCTGTTAAACTGGAGCCGGTCATAAGCACACTGTCCAAGTATGGGAAACTCTCCACTCTCTCCACTACTGCCCCATCGCCGATTGGGAGTTGTGGGGGTGGAGTGTCCGATGGTACAAAATACCCAGGCAGGTGCTTAGTTTTGATGTGGTGGTTGTTGACGTGGTAGTTGTGGTGATGGTTGTTGACCTAGTGATGGTGGTGGTGATGGTTGTTGACCTGGTGGTGGTGGTGGTGATGTTTGTTGACCTGGTGGTGTTGGTGGTGGTGATGGTTGTTGACCTGGTGGTGTTGGTGGTGGTGATGGTTGTTGACGACCTGGTGGTGGTGGTGGTGATGGTTATTGACCTGGTGGTGGCGGTGGTGATGGTTGTTGACCTGGTGGTGGTGGCGGTGATGGTTGTTGACGACCTGGTGGTGGTGATGGTTGTTGACCTGGTGGTGGTGATGGCCGTGTGATGCGCTGGCAGGCCCGTGTGCGCATGGTCCTCTCCTACCTGTCTGGTGATGGTTGTTGACCTGGTGGTGGTGGTTGTGATGGTTGTTGACGACCTGGTGGTGGTGATGGTTGTTGACCTGGTGGTGGTGGTGGCCGTGTGATGCGCTGGCAGGCCCGTGTGCGCATGGTCCTCTCCTACCTGTCTGGTGATGGTTGTTGACCTGGTGGTGGTGGCGGTTATGGTTGTTGACGACCTGGTGGTGGTGATGGTTGTTGACCTGGTGGTGGTGGTGGCCGTGTGACGTGCTGGCAGGCCCGTGTGCGCATGGTCCTCTCCTACCTGTTTGCCCAGCTGGGCCTGTGGGCTCGGGGACGCCCGGGAGGACTCCTCGTGCTGGGGTCGGCCAACGTGGACGAGAGGTGCGGGACTCACCCCACGCACCGCCCTGTAGCCCCCAGGGTACCCCCCACGTATCCCCAAGTACCCCCAAGTACCCCTGTGTCAGAATCAGAATCTGTACTTAGACTGCAGGAGGAATCCGATGAGCTACAAAGCTCTTTGTCACAGATGTCCAGTCGGGGCACGGGTCAGAACGATACAATAACAAACAATACACAAACAAATACAAATGAAACTAAGCTATTTTTGTGTATCTTACCAGGTATGGCCCACTGAGGTATTAACTTCTTTTTAAGAAGTGACCTGGCCGCAAATGATAGCTCAACAAAGTGGAATTTATAGCAGAAAAATAAACCTGAGTCATTTAAATTTTTTTTAAATACCCTATGTAATCCTATCAGCCCTCTGTGTAGCTGTAATAAGTAACAGAGTGATGATGGTGAACGGTGATGAGCGGTCATGTGGTACTGACCCTGTGACTTTGTATATGTACTAGCATAAGTACCCGGCGTTGCCCGGGTGAAAAATATATTTCTTAATAACCTTACATATATACACAGATGGGCTGCTACCCCTGCCCCCACCCCCCCAGCCACGATCTCCTCGGCCGCTGTGCAGTAATATGTACGGCCTATAGTGTGGTGGGGTGTCGAGGCCTAGTACCGTGCAGAGCCTCCGGCCTCGCCTAAATTGCCCACCCGGCTGAGGCTGGGTACGGGTGCCGTTCCCCCCCCCCCCCCCCCGCGCTACAATAATACTGTCTAATCGCTATAATTTTATAATCTACCGACCCTATAATAGTAATTGCACACATTGTGGTGGGGGGGGAGTGAAGAGGACGTGAAACTTTGATGAATTTACCTCAGAGTCGCGTGTTAATGCGTGCGCCTATTTTTAACGGGAATAAAAAATGGCGTCCACCCCGCGGCGAATGCGTCGCTACCCGTTGCCAGGGGCAACCGCCGGACCAATCGTGTCTCGCAAATCCCTGACATTTCGTCCAATGAAACTGCGTATGGTCCGATACACAGACACACACACAGACAGACCGACAGACAGACAGATTTGCGATTTTATATATATAGATGTTGAACTTCTTTCCCACCGTACGTAGCCAAGCACGCTAATCAGAGGTACAGGGGACGGACAGCATTCCAAAGATAAAAGTCAGTTCTAAATAAATTAGTTTGTCAATGTCGATGATTTAAAAATGCGTAGCTCCAGTGGCTTCATATTCTTTGGGTGTTTCGGTAAAGTCACGTAGATAGGTTCAAATTAAAAAAATTAAATAAACAAAAACTACAACGTTTCGATCACAACATTAGCGATCCTCATCAGGAGGAAAACAGAGAGGGGAAGCTGCTGAGGCAGGCTGTCTTTAAAGGTTTACAACGGGTGTAGCCCCAGGGTCATAAACGAAGTGGGCGGGGCTAGTGATGTCGTAGCTTTTTGTTTATGTTTATTCATTTGAACCTATCTACGTGACTTTACCGAAAGACCCAAAGAAAATGAATTCCTGCAGTCACGAAAGCTTTCAGTCAAGATCTCCAGTGGCTTCCTAATATCGGAAGGAAGAGCGTTCCAGAGGGCCGCAGAAGTGCATCATGACCCTGGCAACCTTGGACTCTGTGACCCTGTGACACTGACCCTGTGACACTGTGACCCCATGACCCTGGGACTCCTCTGTGACCTTGTGGCCGCCTTTGTCTGCGTGGCGCAGCCTGCGCGGGTACCTCACCAAGTACGACTGCTCCAGCGCCGACATTAACCCCATCGGTGGCATCAGCAAGAGCGACCTGCGCTCCTTCGTGCGGTACTGCGAGCGCGAGTTCGGAATCACCGCCCTCACCAGGTGAGCTTCGGTCTCGTGTAGTAACAATCATCATCGTCTGTAATTTACGCTTGGGTCACCCGGGAAAGTCTCTTGAGGAATCCGGGACATCTGTGGTAAGGCCCCGTTGAGCTGCTATGTAGTCGCTCTTTTTCAGAAGCGACTTGGCTATCACAAATGATAGCTCAACGAAGTGGCTTATTATCATCATCATGTGAACATTTATAGCAGCAGCCATATCTTACCTATAAAAGTATTTTTTTGTCTGTTTAACACGTAGGCTTTCGCGACCAATATCATCCATAATAGAGGTTTTGGGTTAGATCGCATAAATATATAAATGTGTCGTTATGAATTTTTTTTCCGTCTGTCTGTGTGTGTGGACACACCTTGTGACGCTTTTAATTCACAAATTGCTGGGTTTACGTTTTAAGCAAACTACACACATACGACACAATAAGCCCCTGACCGTAGAATCGCGATTTGTTTTTCCCATCCGTCAAATGTATAGTAGTTAAATTAACAATCTCTTACTATTTATTATTATATTACTACGCTGAGCATGCGCCAAAGCACACATCTGTGCATGCGCGGAAACGCTGATCCGTGGTTGCCCTAGCAATGCACACCAGACGAGATCCAACTAATACTTTAGAACGTAAGACTACTGCAATAACTACAAATTCATTAATCCCTAAGACTGAAAAAAAACTAATTAAAACAAGGGCCTCAAAACCACCTAGACTGTATGGGCTACCAAAGATGAATAAAATTGGCATCCCACAATTGGCTCTGCCACATATAAATTAGCAAAATATATAACTAAACAAATACAGCCCTACATCGATAGGACATCTTCCTTCATAAGAAATTCAGAACATCTTGTGAATGGGATTAAAGATATTACAATTAACCCTAATAATAGTATGGTGAGTTTTGATGTGATTTCTCTATTCACAAAGGTTCCAGTGAACGAGTCGCTTAAATGACTTGCTACACTAGTGTAATGCGAGCAAGGACAGGGTGGGCGCGGACTCTGCGCCACTCACGGGGGCCGGAGTATTAGGGGAGGTGGAGCCTGGTCGTCGGGGTGAGTGGGGGCGGAGTCAGGGTCACGTGAGGAGGAGGATATAGGGTGAGAACCGGAAGGGGATCGGGAGTCGAGAGAGAGTAAAGATAGAAGGAGCCACGCGGGGTGCTGGCGGAGGGGTGGCACGAATTGCCACGTGGTCGGAGTCACGGCACCGTCGGCCAGCGGTGTACGTGGAGCAGCGGAGTGGCTGCAGAGTGTGCGGGAGCACACGGGGCAGCAGGGTGGCTGCAGAGTGTGCGGGAGCACACGGGGGCAGCAGGGTAGCTGCAGAGTGTGCGGGAGCACACGGGGGCAGCAGGGTGGCTGCAGAGTGTGCGGGAGCACACGGCGCAGCAGGGTGGCTGCGGAGTGTGCGGGGCACACGGGCAGCGGTGTGGCTGCAGAGAGAGCGGAGGACTCGAACGGCGTGCGGAGGGCACGCGACGGAAGAGGTGCGGGTCCGATCGGAGACATCGCGGGGTGCGAGACAAGAACCCAATAAAGGACAGACGGAGACCAACATTGCCTAAGAGTCCTTTATTACACTAGTAAAGAATACAGGTTTGGGACACTGTCTACCAGACGAGCGCTCTGAACTCGCCAAATTGAAAAAGAGAGAGGACATAGTCATCCTCTCAGCCGACAAGGGCAATGCTACTGTCATCATGGATAAAACCACATACAACAACAAAATCCAGGACCTTCTTAATGATGGCAGTTACACCAAAATTAACAAAAGATCCTACCAACCGCCTGGCTACAAAAACCAACAATATCATTAACAATTAGACTTCTCTAATCGAACCATTCAAGCGGCTCTCCCTAAAACCTTCTGCTGCTAGACCACCCAGATTCAATGGTCTTCCAAATATCCATAAAGAAGGTACTTCATCTTCTTGGTTCTTTCGGTAAAGTCACGTAGAAGGGAAGTAATAAAATAATAAAAATAAAACATAATAAAATAATTCTCACGACGTTTCGGCCACAACGCAAGCAGCCGTCCTCAGGTGAAACCAGGTCTGTCGATGCGACAGCGTCTGAATGAAACAGCACACGTGCTTGGAGCATATTCAGATTCCAAAGAACACAGGATGAGATGTTACTATCCTTTGTGCAAGCACTTCCAAGAGTTCATGAACAGTGAGCCTGGTGAAATTTGGGGAGCGCATCGTCAGTAGTGACCCTTTGGTTCCTAGGGTGTTTCGGCCTTTCATACTATACACCCTCCCCAAAGGCGGCCAGCGACAGGGTGATCAATCCTACGCTTGCGTCCCATTCCCAATTAGTCATAGGAGTTGCCTTGTTGTTGGTAGCCAACATCCCATGGGACTATGCATGGCAGGGGCGTCCTCCTCCCTGAGTCAAGCATTGTTGACTGCATACCTCCTGGCCCTCTCACTTTGGGGCCCAGCTGGGGTCTTTCCTCTTCATCCAGAGCCACTGACTGCTGCCTTCTGCCGCCTCCGATACAGCTTTGATTGCCGAACGCTGGCTCTGGCCCTTAATTCCCAGGTCTCTAAGCAGTCTGGTTGTAGATGTTGCCACAAAACCTCTGCAGCCCACCTCCACTGGTCGGACTTCTGTGTTCCAGCCATGATGCCGTGCTTCGGCAGCTAGATCGGCATAGCGCAGATGTTTTCGCTCATAAGCCTCATCTACTGAGTCCTCCCAGGGTACTGTGAGCTCAATGATGAAGACCTTCTTGAGCGAACGGGACCAGAGCACCACGTCAGGTCTTAGGGTGGTGGTTGCGATCTCCGGAGGAAACACAAGTTGCCGGCCAATGTCAGCTAGCATTTTCCAGTCGCGGGCCAAGCGCAGCTGGTCTCGCTCTATTGGTGTAGAGCCGCTCTTCGGTGGTTTAGCCCCTTCGCGGACAAAGATCGTCCGTAAGGGGTGTGATGCTGCTGGGGGTGGTAGGGAGTTGGTGGCAGCTCGCTTGTCCTCCAGGGCGGACGCAAGGTTTTTAAGGACTTGGTTGTGACGCCAAGTGTAGCGTCCTTGGGTGAGGCTTGTTTTACACCCTGTGAGAATGTGCCTGAGGTTGGCTGGCATGGAACAGAGGGCACAGTCCGGATCTTCACCATACCATTGCTGAAGATTAACTGGTGTTGGAAGGATGTCATATGTTGCTCTGATGGAGAAGCTCAACCGCCTCGCTTCCGTGGCCCACAGATCCTTCCAGCTGATCTTCCTCTTCTCCACACTGTCCCATCGAGTCCACTGTCCTTGTTTGGCAAGAGAGACTGCCTTGGCCCACCTTGCAGCCTCCACCTGATGGCGTACTTCCTGCACTACCATCTTCCGCCGCTCTGGTGCAGTGGCCTTACTCCAAGCAGCACGGCTAGTTAGCCCAAGGCCTCCTCTCCCTTGCTGAACATGACCCACAATGTCAGCATGTCTGAGGGCTGCTGTTGCCTCCTGGACTGCTTTTCCTGGCCTCCATTTGCGCCCAGTTGCCAAGGTCGGCGCGTTGTTGCTCACCACTGGGTCTCGAGATTCATTCAGTGTCATCTGGAGCCTGGTTTTTGCACACTTGAATTCCTCGGTTAGACTGGTGAGGGGCAGCTTGAGGACACCATCTCCATAGAGGCCTATGGTGGTAAGGCATCGTGGAACTCCGAGCCACTTCTTTAAGTAGCTCGTGGCTCCTCTTTCCATCTTCTCCACTGTTGAGATTGGAACCTCATACACTGCTAGGGGCCACAACACCCGGGGTAGGAGACCAAACTGCAGACACCAGGCCTTTAACTTTCCAGGTAGCTGGGTGTTGTCGATGGACTGTAGGCTACTACTGATGTCTTTGCGCAGCTGTTGCACCTGGTCTTTGTCCTTCAGGCTTGCATCATACCACCTTCCAAGGCTTTTTACCGGCTGCTCAGACACTGTTGGGATTTGGTCATCTCCGATGAAGAATTTCAGGTCACAGAGTACTCCCTTCACAATCGAGATGCTGCGTGACTTGGATGGTTATATATAAGCTGGGTTGGAAGGGGGGGGGGGAAAGGGCGCCTTGACAAAATAATTTGCATATCAATAGGAATTTAGCATATTTATGGGAAATGCAGGTATGTGATTAGTACTACTTATGTTCGTGCATTATGCAGGATTAGCAGCATCCAAGGGAGGGGATATGGGAAATGCAGGTATGTGATTAGTGCTACTTTGGCCGTGCATTATGCAGGATTAGCAGCATCACAGGGAGGGGATAGGGGTAGCATTAATAAAGGGAAGAAGTGTTAATAGTATGTAGCTGCAGTAACTAAAACCAACACGTAAACAACTAAAGTATAAACTACATAGTATCATCATTATACTAAATATACTCTACAATAAGCTGAGTTACTAACAGTAAGAAATACATTACAATTCTACGTCGTAAAAAATATAATATGCTTCCATCTAAACTTTATTCTCTTACATCACACGAGTCTACACCGTACTATATACTGCCATAGACAAACCCAACATTAAATTATATACTGTATTGCTATAAACCACCTTATACATTGTAATATTACACTATGTATTATTCTACCCACCCTAATGTATATCACACTGCTGTATATTCACTATACAATTACGATACTATATATTACTTTGTACATTGTATTAAGCATATACATTTTTATACTATTTGTTATACATTGTACCGTTGACCGTCGTGTGAAAGATACTAAGAGGAAGAAACAGCAGCGGAGCAAAGAATCCATTCCCTGCGGAGAATACAATGCCAGTGAGTGGAACGCGGTCTGAAAGTCACCGTAAACGTGAACATAATCAGTTAAGATCCAAAATGGTTTATTACGTCCTTCCAATGATTATATATATGCTCCAAGCACGTGTGCTGTTTCATTCAGACGTTGTCGCCTCGACAGACCTGGTTTCACCTGAGGACGGCTGCTTGCGTTGTGGCCGAAATGTCGTGAGAATTATTTTATTATGTTTT